TTCAACGATTTTGGGCTAGATTTTCAGTTTCGTTTACGAGTAGATAATATGTAACTATCTCTGACCTAGTTTTACTACGTCAATCGATACGTATAATTGGTATGGCGTTCTGTGTATGACTTCGTGACAGGCTTCGCACGAGGTTACTTCAGAATACTGTGTACAGTTATTACAGTTATTGGATCAACGGTAGTGGAGACAAGTATGATATTTACTTAATATTATACATAAATGGAAACTGAAAATATGTATCTAGTATAAATGTAAAATGTTCATTCTTAACACAAAATCAAACACACACAACCACTGAACTAAGTCTTAGGTATGTCATTAACATTTATGATAAAACAGTACGGTACAGAAATACCGCGGTTATCTAAACTATTTTAATGAAATTTTATGACCCCTGAAATGAGTACAAGAAGAACATGACCAGAGATTCAAAAGAGTGATTACTGTTTCGTCGACAACATCCGCTATGTTCACGATTTCGTGGTCAAATCGAAGTAAGCAATGTCAAGTTTTCAAATGAAAACAAACTATACAACAATGGTGCCACTACGGATACAAAGAGCATCAAATACGTCCAGCTCCATACGGAGCTCCGCATACGGAATAGCTTACTTCTATATGAGATGAGATGACGACATTGAAAATTCCTGTAACTTCTTGATCAACCTGCTGCATTTTACGAAATTCTGTGTTGCTTTGTGATAAGAATCCTCTCATAACATAAAAACGAAGGCACTGCAAGTTAGGCATGGCTTACGGTAGTTTATACACTGAAAAAAATCAAATGTTATTATAGATGAAATGTCTTTTGAAAGAGGTGTTGCAGATTGATAAAAGGCTCTTTGGAGTTCGTTAAATCCACATACTATTAATTCCAATTCTTGAGTAAACAGTAACACATTAAGACTGTAACGTTAATTTGATAGCACTTAAAAGTGTAGTAAGAAGCATTTATAAAGTTTAGTTTACCAACCAGACAAACTAGCAACAAAACGCATGTTGTATGGACTCGTTTCAAGTATAGAAATGATATATCATAACAAAATATTATCATCAATATGATCAGAACAATTGTAATACTAAAGCGTGATTAGGTTGTAGACCTTCTTTGAAAACACTGATTAGTGTGTTTGTAAGGTTCGTTATCGAGGAAGACATTCTTTCATGCAGGAAATGTTCTTATTTCAATTAAAGCCCCAATATACGTAACATTCACCAAAAATTTAGTGTAGAATCACACATAATTATTGAGATATTCTCTAAGATGTAGTTAAAATTAAGTTATTCAAACAATAGTTACCATGACTTTGTGCATAAAGTATTGATATATGAGCAGTTGAAACTTGCTATTTGTAAACACACCTCCATTTTAAACACTCCGCCAAAATTACGATTGTTGCTGGAAAGTTCATGTGTGTTTTTCTACTTATAGTGGAAGCACATGTCGATGTGTCTACAGTAGGTTTTTGTTTATAAACATTGTTTGCGAAATCTTGTCGTAGACTTGAGGTATTTCTGTGATAAACATTCAGTTTTTGGGAAATTATTCTGATATTTCAATACAACGCACAATTATAATGGATGTATTTGGAAAAACACAATATATGTGTCTGCCATGTTTACACACGCGGAATATGCGCATGCGCAATGTCATCGCTACGAGCGGTAATGTATGAATTATTGTGGGTCCCACATTGTTTATTTTCCGATTTTTTCAATTTTTATTTAAATTGAAAACAGTCAGTTTTATTTTCTTTAATTAAAGGAAAGTATTTGTTTTGTTACATATATTACGGGGAAAATAACACAAAGTTTGTTTTTTATAGTGATTTTTACGTATATTGGGGCTTTAATGGGAATCTCACAATATATCTTGGCTCCATGAAAAACTTTCGAAACTTTGATTAATTACATTGCCGGTGTACTTTGTGACCAGCCGGACTATAGTTATAAGGAGGGGTAATACAAGAACATGACGAAAGAGTTGTGGTTCTTAGGTCCTCTACATTCATGTAAAAACATGAAATAATACCTTTGATTCATATGACAAAATCAAACTGTATGACTAACAAAACTAATTGCGATAAAAGAATCTAGTATTGCAAATATTGAATTTTGATTTTAAATTTTACGTTGTCATAATCAGAATACATATCGATAAAAAGTTTACGTTATCTGTTTCATGTAGTTTTAATAGTTCTGAGGCAAAGTTTATAGAAATTGAATACTCCTATGTTATTGCTGTGAGAAGCTCAAAATATTACGTCATGAAACAGAAGACATTTGACATCAACAGGGTTATAAAACATTCCGATATTAGAACGACGAGACGTATGTGAGAATTCCTTCTTATTCTGAATAAAATGACAGTGGAATACCTTAGGAAAGCCTTCCTACATGTAACGTGTTGTACGGGAGATAACTCTAGAACTAGTTATTGTCTAAGTGTAGTATATCTCGGTACGATCACATGGCTGAGTCCAAGATAACCAGTCGATTACTTAGTAGTTTTCGGTCGGAGGAGGTTTAGTATTTTAATTATAAAATTTCAAAGAGTGTTGATTTTCTAATGTCATATGCAAGACACGTAACCTCAAGGAAAAGTTAGGGGGTGGGGGCAGTTTTAAAGTTTATGAACAAAAGTGTCAGCATAGCAAAATTGAATATGTAGTATACAAAAATCCCGAATTCTATCACATAGCTTGTCTTGTCACGAATGTATATTGCAATGAGTGCGCGTTAAAACACGCGTGTCAATGACAACACCACAGCAGTGTGAAAATCAATACTCACTCAGTCTTTATCATTTGTCGTCAATTTATACTCCCACTGCCTTCATTTTTTAATTAATTAAGACTTACTCGGCCTTAATCATATGTCGTTCATTAAGACTTACTCGGCCTTACTCATATGTCGTTCATTAAGACTCACTCGGCCTTAGTCATATGTCGTTGATCAAGACTTACTCGGCCTTAATCATATGTCGTTCATTAAGACTTACTCGGCCTTAATCATATGTCGTTCATCAAGACTCACTCGGCCTTAGTCATATGTCGTTCATCAAGGCTCACTCGGTCTTAGTCATATGTCGTTCATTAAGACTTACTCGGCCTTAATCATATGTCGTTAATTAAGACTTACTCTACTCGACCTGAATCATACGTCGTTGATTAAGACTTATTTGTCCTTAATCGTCAGCCGCTTTTCATTAATTCTGACATTCTTGGTCTTTATCTCTTGTCATCAATATTAACTTTTCCTATCTTTATCAATTACCATTAATAAAGACCTAATCGGCCTTTATCTCTTGTCATTAATTAGAACTTCTTCGGTTTTATTAATTGACATAAAATAAGACTCAATCGGCCTTTATCACGTGTTGATAATTAGGACTTTTATCGTCTGTCATTAATTCAGATATTCTCCGTCATCATCTATTGTCATTTAAGTTTCTTCAGCTTATATTAATTGCCATTAAATCAGACATACTCAACTTTTATCTCATGTCATTAATTAAGACTTCATTTGTCTTTATCAGTTGCGATTACTTAAGCCTCACTCAGCCTTTATATCTTGTCATTTATCAACCCCTAACCTTTATCAATTCTCGCTATGGCCCTTATTACTTATCATTAACTGCGATTTCATCGGCTTTTATCATTTTTTATGAATTCAGACTTTTCGAAGCCTGTCTGGTATATCAATTCGTAATTATTAAAGCATAATCCATATTTGTCAGAATATTGTCTTTGTTAATGCATTTTTAAGCTTTATTTTTCCTTTATTAATAAATCATTAGTTAACTGCTGAAACTTGTTAATACGAAACCATCATACTAAGGGGATGTTAACAGAAATATATCTCGATATACAAGGCACCGTTAGAAACAGCATTACCTGTAATAGAGAGATAACATGCTCCCAGATTTAAGTATCGACGAAGATAACATATTATGCGGAAGTGAAATTTTCCAAAGTAATTCTTCCTGCAAAACGTGACATATCCATGACAACGTGTCACAGCGAAGTGACTTGGTTGGAACCAGAACATGGTTCAAGTAATACGTGAAAGGGCTTATCATCAATGAAATAGCTCAGGGCCTTTTTCTCAATAGAATATGGAGCCAAACATGGGTCTTTTCCCAATGAAAAAGCCTTTATTTCCCCAATATTCCCAGAGGCCTTGTAGTATAAACTGGATAGTTCTATATACATGTATGTATAAAGTTGATGGAACTCTGTAAAGAATGTTATTGTGTTCGTTATTTTCCCGATTTGAAATTTTGTCACACTTTCTTCCTCGTGGGAAAAGAAAATAATCTTGTACAGACTGATTCTATCGTGAAATGGAAATAATTGGTATTTATTATTAGAAAACCGTATCACTTCAAAGATTTAAAGATTTGTGTTCAAACATGTGCGCATGTTGTGAAAATTTATCTTGACCATCATGTGTGATTTTGAGTGAAAACGTTTTGAAGTCGCTGACAGCACACTTATCCATGACTCGCATACAGTTATCGTGTTTCTCGTCTTTCACGACTGTAACGACCGTCCTGGTAGTTTTCACACAGGTATATATATATATAGCTTTAGGTAAATGTCTAATACTTAAGTCATTAAGAACGTCTGTGACCTTGATCTTTGAAGGTCACAGTGTATGACGTCCGTGACATCAACTGCAACTGCACTTGTCTTTCAAATGTCCGTTAGTGCTTTAGAAACATATTGTGGTATAATGCACCTGGTCATCGCACCGTCAAGTAAAGCTAGCGTTCTAACCTTTGCTGTATTAGTATTAGCCGACCTCGGGACTACGAAACAGTGTAAGCGGGGCTTTCTGTCTTAGCACGCCCAAGCTCCACTACACACAGATCGAGAAGTACCAGAAAGCCAGCTGGGTTCAATTTGAAAGGGAGCCAACCATGTGCTGTACACGGCAGACAGGTTCCATTCGCGAGCAGACGATATCAATTTTGGGCCTGTGTATTCCCCGACCAAGCACTGCTACACAGTAGCTACTTACGACCGAACGCGCATGCTGGCTAGCGAGCTGACGGACTGATAGGCTTGTCACACACACGTACACAAACAAAAGTTTGGGAAAGTTGCAAAGTTTGCCGGAGCCGACCAAACTATGTGCTGTGTCCGTATGATGTTATTGTGGTTAGGCTACAGCGCTAAGGAGTGATAGAAAGTTGTCGGTAAGTTTTCAAAGTTTATCAATGAATTGTCTACGTAAGCACAAGTCTGACTAGGGACATCATGCTTGAGTGGTCGGTTGAAGGCTCTGAAAGCGTTAAGGCAAGTTTGGTACGTTACATATTAAAAGTTAAAGTACATTTGCTTCTCCGATTATTTAACAACTTTAAAGAGCTAAATTTAATACTGAAACTTGTCTGACTGTGCTTGCATTAGATAGGGTTGTCTGTGTACAAAGTTTATATGTAGCGGTGGACTTGGCCTAGATTATATAGCCGGCTCTCACTACATAAAGCCTAGCCAAGCTAGTTGTACGTATATCGTGCACCTACACACATACATACACCCTAGCTAGGCTGGCTTTTCTGACCCGCGCTACACATTAAGCGGCTTACATCTATATTTAGCCTGCAATTTTAACTAACACTGCGGGCCGTAACTTGCTTGGTACTAAATGATAATTTTCGTCTTGTGAAAGTCGACTACAAATGATAAATCAAATTCTGATACCTTGGCTTATTGGCTTATGTAAGTATGTAGGGCGTCAGTGTTGCAGTCGGTCGCAATGAATTATTTATACAAAATTTACAGATAATATGACGCCTGATTACTCTACTTAACTCTTAAATATCTTTTTTTTTTCTATCGTAAGATAACTTAACAAAACTTTCTATTGTTTATCACAGTGGCTGCCATGTTTATTCAGGAAACAATAACAAAGATCATTAAAAGCGGTTGTTTTATTATTATTTATTATATTTTGTGGGTACAGAATATTAAGGAGAGATACAGCTGAATCGACATAGGTACGATCATATCAACTGACAAAAAATAATAATAAATTGTATTTCGGAAGGCCTTTTAAGGAAACTACAGTACTGACACATCAGAAAGGGTCCTGGTAGGAATCGGGCTCTAAACCCAAGCTTAACTGATAACAAATTATTGGAATTACTGCTGCAACACTCCCGATATAAAGTAACTTTATTCTGAAGACCTGTCATGACAACTTAAGATGCCTGTTTCATGGCATCAGAGCTGTAAGACCTATGTATGATTGACGGCCCCAACCTTATGATTGTGTTATGGTCTTTTATATCCTGTCGAATTGCTACTCTTGGTTTAGTTTCGATCAGAGTTGAATCATTACATTTAGACCAGTTTTATAGGCTATGATATATAAGGCTGACATTGACATCTGTGTAACCTTCACTTTTTTATGCTAAGAGCATTTTCAATGCTCTTCAGCATGTTGCTGTCGCCCCTGGCCCTGAGTATCAGTACTTCGTTTTCATTGGTTCATAAATCGAAAGTTTACTCCTACTCCATCTGCCGGACATTACCGTAATCATTGGATTATCGCCCCTACAAGTTGCTGATCCTAGTCATTAAATGAAACAACCTTATCGACATTTTCTTCATTACTTGTACATCAAGAAAACGTTTTGTGTTGTGTATTAATGATAATCAGACATCGAAATTTGTAAATACAGTGATGAAGACTCGCGTTTTATGGTGGTAAATTTTGCGAGGCGATGCCAATATGGCGGCTTAACTTTCTTTCCCGCGCGATGCATTGTGGGTGTCATATATCTTTCTTTTTTTTCTTTTTCGAAAATTTTCATCCCGTTTAATACTGTTGAAAACTTTTGAAAATACTGAAATATGTAGTCGAAAATAAGAATGAAACTAAAATAAGAATGATTTAGAGTAGCATAAAATTTTGACGGAATTGCTGCTGGACCCTGAAAGAAGACGGTGGCAGAAAGAAGATGGCGGGTATTTGATGCAAGTAAGTATCACTATATATATATATATATAAGCTGAATTTAAAGTCAATACTTAAACTGAACTAGCAATTGCATTTTTTGCAAAATACTCATTTGAAATGAGCTATCGCATGTATTGAATTTATGCTCGACGGCGACGCGCAAGCTGGGCACTGCCGCCATGGCACTTTTTTCAAAATATTTTCAAGACTTTTCCTTTGAAGCAGTATGCATTTGAAAAATGTTATGTAAGCATTTGTTGCTTCCGTAAGGTATTTCAGTGTTTTGAAATAAATTTAATTTTGAATGATCGTGAGTGACCCAACAGATCGGAAATTAAACAGAAAAAAAAACTTATCCGTAATATTGTACTGTACTACTTACGCTACCGTGAATAAATCTAGGAATCTATCTGTGTAATATATCGATTTTACTTTAAAATATCGGTCACTGTCCGTGCTATTGTAGATCTAGCTCTTTCAAATTTCTGATCGGAGATAATTTATAAGTACCCCAAGTCCAGGGTATGAAATCGTACCGGAACTCTACGGCTATGCCAATTGAAGTTTATATATATAGTTTTAGCTTAAATTTAGTTTTTGTCTTTCTGACATGATGTCTCGTTGATTCTGTTGAAGAGTGATGCATGTGAACGATTACAATATGAAGATTGGGAATAATGAAGATGTCAATTAACATCTGAATCCCGGAAAGTGTTTTAATGAAGATTAGGATAAACCTAGCAAAGTGTTAGGTCCCATTGGTACAATTCTTATTATGCCTGAACTTTTAATATATGTACTGTATTTGTTCATCTCAGAAATTTCAGTATTATGTCAACTGCGTCAACTTTCAGTTCAACACTTGATTCATCAATTTTACACAGCCCTAGGCTCAATATTTGTCATTAATTGTCGACTGTTTATAAGCATTTTAGAGTTTTGTTTCCATGGTGAATGGAATGAAATGGGATAAATAGTCTAACCAATACCCCTCATGAGCTTATTAAGACATTGCAGTATTATCACATTGGGCCTTATTAAAAGTCAAATTGAAACTTTAAGAAACTCAAGTGACCGGAAGTACAACAATAAGATGTTGATAATCAATGAAATTGATTAATTGAGAGGACATTGTCTGTACAGATAACCAGGCTTTGTAGTGGTTTGTTCAGAACTGTAGTTCTGGTTAAGTAACCATTAATTATGTCCTTTCAGCTATAATGACGTACATTTTTGAAATACCTCTACTGTAGCTAAATGTGGCATTTGTAATAGACATAGCCAAAGTTAATTTTGTGATAGATGTAGCCAAAGTTAATTTTAGGATCAGTTAGGACAGCTACTGTTTGTAACAGGCATGGGTTCAATTACATGATGATGTAATTAATTAAATTACAATTACATTATGAAAATGGCATTGCCATTACAGGTATTTTCAAAATAATTCAATAACCATTACATGACAGTCCAATGTAATTAATTAAATTATACATTACTTTTCAAGTCAAAATGATTTTTTTTTTTTGAAATACAAATGTCAAAATAAATTATCATACTGCACAGATTTATCACACAAATTTAATTTTATGATTCAATCTCTGTATGACCATGGTCAAGATATTATCATTTTGCTAGCTGTCCATCGCTTAATAATTTGACAGTCCTGAACGTCAAAGTAATTAATTACAGTATATTTAATATAGACTCCTATTGGGAAGACTATAAGCTTATACAGAAGTGTGTATTTTTTGCACATAATCATAGCAATAATGAAATATAGTTATTTATTTCCCTTACTCTCTTTCAGCAAGTGAATGTCCCTGAAGAAATGAAATCTGGAATGGTAGAAGGTATCTCTATTGACTCTTCTAAGTTGGAATTGGCCATGGTGACCAACAATGGATTTGAGGACCTTATGGTGGAGAAAAACATCCTTCTTTCCGGCCTCCAATTAGATGTTGAAGATGATTAATCACTTGAGGAGATGCTAACAACCATGTTGCCTTTTAATGTCACAGTACTCTCTAAAGGCGGAAATATATTTACCATCACAAAAGAAGAATCAACAAATGGCGGAAACTAAAAAAATGTGGAAAAGATCATTGTATACTGCATTTGTAGTAAATTTGTATACAATCTTCAATTTACTTGAGTAGAAAGATTCACTAGTTATACCAAGTTTGTGTAGAAAGGATCACTGTATACTGAGTTTGTAGTGTACATAGAAAGGTTTACTTATTTGTTTTTTTTTTCTGAGTTTAGTGTATACGATATATAAAAAAAACTTTTTGTAGGAAAGATCACCGCATACTGAGTTTGTTGTTTACAAATGTGTAGAAAAGATCGCTGTATACAGAGTTTATAGTTTACAATTGTCTAGAAAAATCACTGTATACTGAACATAATACGACTTCTGTTTAAAACCTTCATTTAAACTTAGGCATGTATTTTTTTATGTATCTTAAAAGTCTACCTACAGCAATTTTGTGTATGCAATCTTGTACTAGGATACTGACATGACAAGATTACATTGCTGATCAAAGAATGGAAAGAATACTGTATCTAAAAACTGAATAAAACAAGATATAAGCATCTGTATCATGTTTTTTTATTATTATTATTATTTTTCCATAATGTCTGTCCACATGGAATTTGTAAGCACTCTTGTGCGTTCTTATACCACCAAAAGGGTGGGTAAACTGGAATCAGGTTGTCTATCCGTCCATCCATCTGTTTGTCTGTCTGTAGACACATCTTGTCTGGACAACTCCAATGAAACTTTTCAGTAATATTCGGGACAATGTGTAGATGTGCATGCACCATTTTCCCTCGAAATATTCATTGCCATGGCAACTGGTCAATATAGACGGGTTTTGCTCGTCGGTCAACTTCTAAACCTGTGGACCAATTTCAACAAAACTTTGCAGGAATGTAGGGGAACGTGCACATGCCGCTGTGTTTCAGAGGATGTTTCTGTGCAAAAGGTCACCATGGGGAGATAGCTAAGGCTGTGGGTGTTGGGGGGTATTAGTTATCATTTGGATTACAGTTTCAGTTATCCCTGGGCAATGTGCAGAGGATATAGTAATGATTTTGAGGATTGAATGTAGAGGTCACAGTACTTGCATAAGTACTATATGATTACCTTGTAAACGCATTGAGACTAAGACAGTATACCTTAATCAAATTTGGAACATGTATCCCTTATGGGAAGTCGGTTTCTTTAGAACTTCAGGGTCAGATGTCGAAGATCAAGGTCACAGTCAAAAAACGGATAGATGCATGGGGGTGTTCTTTGCATTACCCTCATTTTTCTATCAAATTTCACAACCTAAAAGATATTCACATCTTGCAAATTTCAAGGTTCAAGGTCACTGTTAGTATGTAAAAATTATAATACAAGAGGAATAAAATATCTTGCGACAAGTTTTAGAGAACAAAGAATATATAAACATGTCAACAGAATTGTAGAACCAGTAAAACAAGTGTAAAATTGAAACAAAGGCAATATCTACTCGAAGATTCCCTGAAAAAGTACAAGGAGAATAAGACCAGGTGTTCCGAAAGAACAGGCATCTTTTATTTTAAGATATGGTGACATATCATGTTTGTTTTAGAAAATTGGCACTCTTATGCAGTCATTTACAGAAAATCTGGAAAATGAAGCTGCCCAATATTTGTATGTAGCATGTTATTTGCATGATGGTCTAACTAATGGTCTTAAACCAATAAGATACGCAGTCTTTAAAGTGATAATATGGTGTCCAAGATCAACATTTCCTACAATGTATCCAAAGAAATGGACAACTTCCCTATCATTGCATCTTGGAGCCTACTTGGGACATGTATTACATAAGTAATACTACTATGCTTGTTATTTCTGATATCTGCTGGTCATTTTATGGGCTGTAATGATTTACTGCTTGCATATAGTTGGTTTCAGTATATAGCAAGCTAATAACAAAGAATTTGTTTTTTTAATGGTCTTAGCATACCAGTACTTTCAGTACTTTGATTTTCTTTATGGTTCATAATGTCAACACAGAGTAGTTACCCTTGAAATATCATAGATTTCACCTTGACCTTTAGTCCAGTGAAATTCACATAACTTTTTTTCAAGATGATAAAAGATGTATTTACCATGTAGTTACGACATAGGTTAGATGATTTTGAGTTTAAGCCATTGTATTTGTGAACTTTGTAAATATTTCCATGTAAATAAAAAATGTAAAAGTTTGACCTTGACATTTGACCTGATGATCTTGTCTGTAGTCGGGCGACTTAACATTTGATTTCAGTCAATTTGCTTCATAATACTATGAAAGAATATTTACTGGTGATATATTCATATGTCTTTTACCTGTATGTTCCCAGATCTGATTGATAAAAACATTATCCTTTTGCACATCGGCATAACACAGTCTATCAGCATGTGGCATTTCAGAAAGTTTGGCCTTCTGCTATGACCTTTCATCATGTATTTTTGACAAATTCCGGGATCTTTTTTGTAACAACAACAATGCCCTCGACCTGAGGGACTTTTTTAAAATCCGTAACGCGCAGTACAGTATATCATAACGTAAACTTAGCGTTTGGTCTTCTGTATTATGAGGAAAAATTTGATAGACGGACAGAAGGATGGATACCGTGATTTCTATAAACATGTAGATCATCCGCATTTTCCTTCATATCTTTACCAAGTACGTAACAATCCTCATAAAGGATTTTATCCGCCACAAAACCACATGTATAAGCAAGTGGCGTCGATATTTGTCCAGTCGGTGTAGTGTTATAAAGTATCTATGTATAGATGACCTTGATCTACATTCAGTGTCACAGGGAACAAATATGTGAAGACAGGTAATAATCTACTCGAATTTCAGGAAACCAAGGTCTAGTTATTAGACCTGCGGTTACATGGATTGAGGAGATATAAAATTTCATTTAAATGACCTTGATCTTAGTTCAAGGTCTCATGGGCACAATGCGTTACGAGCATGGATTTCCCTAAAGGTTATACAAATAATGACCTTGACCTCCTTTCAATGCCAAAAAGACCATTTGTACTAATTTCAGGCCAACAAGTACCCGGAATACAGTGCAATAAGGTTTTAAATATTTATGTGAACTCTAATTCCATGGCTACTGGGGTCAATTGTGTTATGACCATTTAGAAATCTTTTTTGGCGGGATGAAGGAGACACGGGAACCTGTTAGTAATCAAAGATATCATGTGTCTTAATGTAAATGACCTTGACCTATTTTCAAGGTCATAGAGGCAATGTATTTCAGATATATTTAAAAATCTTTGGTTCCAGAAGGCAAAGTGTACTGCTCTTTCGGAAAATGGTAGTATTGACGGAGCCTTTTTGATTGTTTAAATATAAATAACCATTGGCTTTAAATATCACAGGGTTCAGTAACGTTGAACACTGTAAGAAGCTTCTCTGGCTACACGTGACTCTAGAGTCATCATATTTTCAAGTAGGTAACTGGAATGTAATGCTTTAATGTATTCAGTTATTGACTTCCATTCAGTGTGACAGAAAATAAGTGTATTTAAAAAGTTGTGTCGTAACAGAAAATAAGTATATTTAAAAAGTTGTGTTGTGACGGAAAATAAGTATATTTAAAAAGTTGTGTTGTGACAGAAAATAAGTATATTTAAAAAGTTGTGTGTGACAGAAAATAAGTATATTTAAAAAGTTGTGTTGTGACAGAAAATAAGTATATTTAAAAAGTTGTGTTGTGACAGAAAATAAGTATATTTAAAAAGTTGTGTATCTACTCAAGTTCAAAAATACACCTAGTTCTGATATTTAGCCAGTATGCATACCTTGTATTATGTCAACAATCAGAACTTCAAGAATTGGTTATATTGAACACCAGCAGTGTAAATAGTTGTCAATTTACGTTGGCACTTGAACACGGGTGATTGAATGCGTGATATTAGAACACTTTTTACTGGAACAATTTGCCCTTATTGTTTGTACATGTAGCGATACAGATCCTTCGGGCCTCTTGTTTATGTTTCAGCAGAGAACAAAGAAATATAGAAAAATCATGAACAGGAGACTCGGATCGATCTTGGCGCACAGCATCTTATTGTCTTTTATGCGACTGTTATAAATTTGCACTTTTCTCATCTTTCTTCTTCTTTTCCCGCAAAATCGGATATGCACTAGTGGGGACAGGAACATTCATATAAATTTTGAAAAAGATTCATCCATGACTTTTCAAGATATGGTAATAACAACTGTCGTAATCCAACATGGCCGTCTGTTGGCCATTTTGGTGTTCAGTCCAATGTTGGACAGTGTATGACTACTCTTTTTGTGGCACGCGGCCTGCATATGAAATTATCAGAACCACAGATAGAATGATAACAGTTTCCAACTCTCATTGACTACCTGTCGACCATTTGCTCATGCATGAAACATGCTTAACATGGGACTGAGGGAAACCTACCTAATATATTTAGGTTAGATCCACCCATTCTAAAGAAATAGCGATAAAAAAACGTCAACTTTGAACATTCATTATTTCTTTTGCTCAGTCACAGAGTCTACCTGCGAAATCTAAGAAAAACCCATACCATACATCTCTCTAGAGATAACAATAAGAATTGCAAAGGACTGACGGACGGACCACGGTGGTGGACGAGAAATTGTTGTCTGTCTGGTGTTTTTTAAACATAGATACGTAAAGGTGTTATTCCCCATCAATACTACACTGTTAAGACCTTATCTCTACATGTATTATCCAAGCTCATAAACATGTCGTAGTTCTCTCAATTTTTGATCTAGCGATCTATTTCACCATAAACATTTCTACATATATGTGGTTTCATCACAAGTATTGATAATTAAGACGCCATTTCTTGATTGTTTTTCTAGCTTTAAACATGTTTTATGTGAGTCTGTAATCTCGACTTAAAGTGATGTCGTAGTCATTTGTTGATATATTGTTTTGTGCATTTTCAGTGGGAAGATGGACGACGGTAGAACAAGATTCAAACAGGAGCCAGTAAGTCCCGGGAGTCGTCACGGACACGATCTTATGGCCATGCAACAGACTTATCATCAAGGAGAGGTTTTGTCTCGGACCAGCACCCAAGGCGCCCTCGATATGTCGCAGGGAGGGCGCACGGCAACAATAGCCGCCGGAATGCCATACATTTCTGATACAATGACGTCATATGCAATGACAGCTCACGATGTCACACCGGCCTACGTCATGCAGGACCGTAACCTTATGTTGGGGATGTATGGATATGCTCCAGTGATAGGTGAAAACAAAGGGTCTGGTCACGTAGACCTGCTGGCTAATAGCATAGACAGTGCTGAGGTGAACGGCGACGGGGCGGGGACTCCGGAGAGTGTTCAACCAAAGCTTCGTAATACAGCCTTACCAGGAATGGGCAAACGATCGCACCTTCCTAAACGGTACAAATGCGCGATGTGTGCCTACCGCACCAGATACAAGTCCGATTTGAACCGTCATGTAAGGAAGCACGCCGTAGCAACGTTCAACTGCGAAATATGTAATATGCCATTTAAAACAATTGGAAACGTGGAATTCCACAAACGCAAGGAGCACGCGGATTTGATTGTGTCGTCAGCTACAACAATATCCGGGTCAGGAAAAGATCAGCCTCCAAAACATAGTTGTAAGCATTGTGACTATAGCACATCATACAGTTCCGATCTGACTCGCCATGTCCGAAAACACTTGTCGTCCAAGTTTCATTGCAACATGTGTAATCGACCTTTCATGACCTTCTCAAGTCTGGCGACACACAAACGTACAGCACACAACAACGGCGATCACGACATTGAAGTCCTTGGAAGTGAAGGTGAATGTGTGATTGCTGAGGAGGTTGGACCGGAGGGAGCCGGTGGAGATATAGACGAGGATGGCGCTAAGGGTGAAGAAATGGACATGACAGTTACTGGTTCGCAAGCTATCGGTGATGCTGGAGACAGACTCGAGGACGTGACGAGGCAACAGGTCAGTGTTGACAGTAATGAGAACGGTAAGAAGATAGAAGAGGACGAAAACAGAAATATCGCAAACATGAATCCACAACTCGAGGAAAAACCTGATACTGATATAGGTCAGTTGCCATCAACAAAGACAACCAACTCACCAGACAGCGTGCCTAGTACAAAGTATACCTGCGAACACTGTGATAAATCCTTTGGTCGAAAACTAGTTTTGGAGTATCATCTTAAAAATATTCACAAGATAGGAAAGTCTGGGCAGGAAGACACCGACGTATTTGTCGAATACCCTGATGACGATTATGACCTTGCACTAGACATGTCTATTCAAGAGTTGGAGAATTCTACGTCTGATGGTCTAGCTGAACGCACGCTTGATTCTAATGGTAAACTACGTCACCAGTGTCACTTGTGTGCCTATGCCACCAACTACAAAAGTACATTCGATCGGCACGTGCGCAAGCACGACCTCGAATGCCATATATGTGACGTCTGCCGAATGCCATTCATTACCTTTGGACATCTTCAGCGCCACATCCGTGACAATCATCCTGAACACACCCAAGCAAGCTCTCGCAAGGAGACTGCGGAAGGACACCATGATCACATGCAAATGAACGCCAGAAAAGAGTCTGCGGATGGGCGATCTATCGTGTACAACTTCCCACCAAGCGACGTGCACCACCGTGGCACTAACCCTCCGTCCCCCTCCTGCTATAAGATGGAGGGTCCAGCTTTGTCACAGGGTAACTTCCAGGGGATGTCGGTGAACAAATCCTTAACGTTATCACCAGGGAAGAGTCAACAGGGCCATAGTGATGGGACAAAGGCCAGCTGGACCAGTCTGCGACGTGTGTCAAATGTTGAGGATGGAGTGATGACTAGCCCACCTACCTGCGGACGTTACGCCAAGCTAGTGTCCGACTATGACAGTTTTGCTGAACAGCCTTTTGCTTGTGCATTGTGCTTTTATAGAACAGGTGACATTTCAAGCCTTGTCGATCACGCGGAGAATCACCTGACCGGATGCAGCATGACGCCAGTGCCGGACACTTGTAAGTTTAGAGTGGGTGCTTCGATGTCGCGCGGTACAACCGACCCGAACCGTTCACTGAGATGTCCGAGTTTACCATCATACAGTATATATACTCCACTTTCCACAAATGGCCATGGTCATGGGGACAGGTCGGTCACGCCTAATGACATTTCACGATCGCACGTTATGGTTGCTGATCATACACGTGCCTTTGTATCAAAGAATCATAATTCAAACCACAGGCCGATTTCTCAAAACCAATATTTACCAAACAATTCAATTCAGAGCCATGAAAATCAAGAAAAGAAACAAGTAATTTCTTGTGAACAACAGTCATCGATGATGGTACAACAGCCATCAAGTCTTGACGATACCACTTTGAGAGTTAACGACATCCAGAAAAGAAATGACCGCATGATTCCAACATTTTCCGTCCACTACAGAAAGGACAAGACTAACAAAGTGCGGCCGTACCTGTGTCTGTTGTGCCGTAAACGTTTCCGTCATCTAATGTTACTAAAACAGCATTTCAAAGTGGCTCACAGCGAGTCACAGGTAGGAAATCCACGATATTATAACTGTCGTATGTGTAAGGAGGTATTCGACAATCCCATGTTATTACAGGAACACCACGACATTAATCACTAGGCATAGAGACACCAAGACATCACTTACTAATGGTAGACACCAAATGAAAGGACTCTTTAGGGATATTTTAGATATTTACTCATTCTATCCTGATGATACGTTTCTGATGTGTAACTTTCCACGTCCTAGACGGGATATTATGTATGTTACAATGGTAACAAGGCTGATTTTAGAAATTAATTGATCTAGTGCTTTGTCAGCTGTATATTCAGTGCCTTGTATTAAGTCAGTTGTAAATAACATATGGATAAAGTTATATTTACAATCCATTTATTAAGTGCCTTGTATCCAGTCAGTATTAGATAGTATTTGGATAACATTATATTTACAATCCATTTTTTTCAGTGCCTTGTATGAAGTCTGCAATATACAATCCATTTATTCAGCACCTTGTAATGAGTTTGCTGCATAAAACAAATTAAAATTTACAATCCATTTTTTCAGTGTTTTGTATCGTCAGCTGTATATAACGCATGGATGTAATTATATAAACCAGAAGGGCCAGGATGTTATCTGACCATTGTGTTTCATCCATCGTTCGCCGAGCGTAAACTTTTCACAATTTAAATTTCTCAGGTTATACCTTTGGAAATGAAACTTGCTTGAAATGATCCCATGATTCCAATTCCTGACCAAGAGTTAATTTCGGGTTGTGAAAAACATACATTTTAAATCTCAAGTTCCACTAGTGTCATTGAAAAGCTACTTGTTAAATGTATTTTTTTCAAATTCGTCAAAAGTTCAATACAACATCCAGTTTTGTAATGGTTGTCCCATCATGGTTTCCCTGACAATATCTTCTTTAAACGTCTCAAATTGTTCTTGTGGAATTGGGCAAAAACTTACCAGAAATGATCCTTAAAGCCCCAATATACGTAAAAATCACTATAAAAAACTTTATCTTATTTTCCCCGTAATATATGTAACAAAACAATTACTTTCCTTCAATTAAAGAAAATAAAAATTGAAAAAATCGGAAAATAAACAATGTGGGACCCACAATAATTCATACATTACCGCTCGTATCGATGACATTGCGCATGCGCATATTCCGCTTGTGTAAACATGGCAGACACAGTACAGACGTCCACCAGTCGCTTCCTTTTTTCCCGATCATACATCAGGCCAGTTCTGAATTTTTACATTATAATTGTGCGTCGTATCGTTTCTAAACTAATTATTCCTTCTAATAATTTCCCAAGAACTGAAAGGTTATCACAGGAATACCTTAAGTCTACGACAAGACTTCGCAAACAATGTTTGTAAACAAAAACTTACCGTATTAGTAGAAACCTCAACTCTCGCGAGATAAGGTCATGAACTTTCCGACGTGGTTCGGCAACAATCGTAATTTCGATGGCGGCGTGTTTAAAATGGGGGTGTGTTTACAAACAGCGAGTTTCAACTGCTCATATATCAATACTTTATGCACAAAGTCATGGTAACTATTGTTTGAATAACTTAATTCTAACTACACCTTAGAGAATATCTCAATAATTATGTGTGATTTTACACTAAATTTTTGGTGAATGTTACGTATATTGGGGCTTTAAATGGCCCCTATCATATGTTGTTAATTTTTGGTCGGTCCAAAATCCGAAATCGTTGTCATGGCCACTATTTTGAGACTTCTCGATTTTACTTGTGCCTTTATATGGGAATATTTACAAACCGAAATAAGGAGTGTTTATTGCCTTTAATACTGAAATATTCTGATGCCTACTATTGATCCTGTTGTTATAGCATATACAAGATATCTCCTTTGACCTAAAATAACCCACGGGAAGGCATTACATAAGTTAAGGACATTTCCTGAAATTTAAGAAATTAAGATAAGTTTTGGACGATTAGCGATACTGGGGCGAGATCTTTATAATCTGCCCCGTGGGTCTCTTGTGTTCAAAATGCACATATCCAGTGCCTTGTATTAAGACATCTATATATAGCACGTGGCTCTAGATGTATACCCAGTGCCTTGTATTAAGACAGCTATATATAGCGCGTGGCTCTAGCTTTATACCCAGAGCCTTGTACTAAGACAGCTATATATAGCACGTTGCTCTAGCTTTATACCCAGAGCCTTGTACTAAGACAGCTATATATAGCACGTGGCTCTAGCTTTATACCCAGAGCCTTGTACTAAGACAGCTATATATAGCACGTTGCTCTAGCTTTATACCCAGAGCCTTGTACTAAGACAGCTATATATAGCACGTGGCTCTAGCTTTATACCAAATGTCTTGTATTAAGACAGCTATATATAGCACGTTAATCTAGCTTTATACCCAGAGCCTTGTATTAAGACAGCTATATATAGCAGGTGGCTCCAATTTTATACCCAGAGCCTTGTATTAAGACAGCTATATATAGCACATTGCTCTAGCATTATACCCAGTGCCTTGTATTAAAACAGCTATATATAGCACGCGAGTCTAGCATTATACCCAGTGCCTTGTATTAAGACAGCTATATATAGCACGCGAGTCTAGCTTTATAACCAGTGCAATTAAAAAGTTTTCTATAGCGATAGTCTACAATTATGAAGTTTTCTATAGCGATAGTCTACGATTTAGAAGTTTTGTTTGGCGATAGTCTACGATTTAGAAGTTTTCTATGGCGATAGTCTACGATTAAGACGTTTTCTATGGTGATAGTCTACGATTTAGAAGTTTTCTATGGTGATAGTCTACGATTAAGACGTTTTCTATGGTGATAGTCTACGATTTAGAAGTTTTGTTTGGCGATAGTCTACGATTATGAAGTTTTCTATGGTGATAGTCTACGATTAAAGTTTTGTTTGGCGATAGTCGTTTTCTATGGTGATAGTCTACGATTTAGAAGTTTTGTTTGGTGATAGTCTACGATTTAGAAGTTTTGTTTGGCGATAGTCTACGATTTAGAAGTTTTGTTTGGCGATAGTCTACGATTAAGAAGTTTTGTTTGGCGATAGTCTACGATTAAGAAGTTTTCTATGGCGATAGTCTACGATTAAGAAGTTTTCTATGGTGATAGTCTACGATTAAGAAGTTTTCTATGATAGTGATATTAAGACGTTTTCTATGGTGATAGTCTACGATTTAGAAGTTTTGTTTGGCGATAGTCTACGATTATGAAGTTTTCTATGGTGATAGTCTACGATTAAGACGTTTTCTATGGTGATAGTCTACGATTTAGAAGTTTTGTTTGGTGATAGTCTACGATTTAGAAGTTTTGTTTGGCGATAGTCTACGATTAAGAAGTTTTGTTTGGCGATAGTCTACGATTTAGAAGTTTTCTATGGCGATAGTCTACGATTAAGACGTTTTCTATGGTGATAGTCTACGATTTAGAAGTTTTCTATGGTGATAGTCTACGATTTAGAAGTTTTCTATGGTGATAGTCTACGATTAAGAGGTTTTGTTTGGCGATAGTCTACGATTAAGACGTTTTCTATGGTGATAGTCTACGATTAAGACGTTTTCTATGGTGATAGTCTACGATTAAGACGTTTTCTATGGTGATAGTCTACGATTAAGAAGTTTTCTATGGTGATAGTCTACGATTTAGAACGATTTAGAAGTTTTGTTTGGCGATAGTCTACGATTAAGACGTTTTCTATGGTGATAGTCTACGATTAAGACGTTTTCTATGGTGATAGTCTACGATTAAGAAGTTTTCTATGGCGATAGTCTACGATTTAGAAGTTTTGTTTGGTGATAGTCTACGATTTAGAAGTTTTGTTTGGCGATAGTCTACGATTAAGAAGTTTTGTTTGGCGATAGTCTAAGATTAAGACGTTTTCTATGGTGATAGTCTACGATTAAGACGTTTTCTATGGTGATAGTCTACGATTTAGAAGTTTTCTATGGCGATAGTCTAAGATTAAGACGTTTTCTATGGTGATAGTCTACGATTAAGACGTTTTCTATGGTGATAGTCTACGATTAAGACGTTTTCTATGGTGATAGTCTACGATTAAGAAGTTTTGTTTGGCGATAGTCTACGATTTAGAAGTTTTGTATGGCGATAGTCTACGATTATGACGTTTTCTATGGTGATAGTCTACGATTAAGACGTTTTCTATGGCGATAGTCTACGATTATGAAGTTTTCTATGGCGATAGTCTACGATTATGAAGTTTTCTATGGCGATAGTCTACGATTAAGAGGTTTTGTTTGGCGATAGTCTACGATTAAGACGTTTTCTATGGTGATAGTCTACGATTAAGACGTTTTCTATGGTGATAGTCTACGATTAAGACGTTTTCTATGGTGATAGTCTACGATTAAGAAGTTTTCTATGGCGATAGTCCACGATTATGAAGTTTTCTATGGTGATAGTCTACGATTAAGACGTTTTCTATGGTGATAGTCTACGATTAAGAAGTTTTGTTTGGCGATAGTCTACGATTATGAAGTTTTCTATGGTGATAGTCTACGATTAAGACGTTTTCTATGGCGATAGTCTACGATTTAGAAGTTTTCTATGGCGATAGTCTACGATTAAGACGTTTTCTATGGTGATAGTCTACGATTAAGACGTTTTCTATGGTGATAGTCTACGATTAAGAAGTTTTCTATGGCGATAGTCTACGATTATGAAGTTTTCTATGGTGATAGTCTACGATTAAGACGTTTTCTATGGTGATAGTCTACGATTAAGACGTTTTCTATGGTGATAGTCTACGATTAAGAAGTTTTGTTTGGCGATAGTCTACGATTAAGAAGTTTTGTTTGGCGATAGTCTACGATTTAGAAGTTTTGTATGGTGATAGTCTACGATTAAGATGTTTTCTATGGTGATAGTCTACGATTAAGACGTTTTGTTTGGCGATAGTCTACGATTAAGACGTTTTCTATGGCGATAGTCTATGATTAAGAAGTTTTGTGCGGCAATAGTCTACGATTAAGAAGTTTTGTTTGGCGATAGTCTACGATTAAGAAGTTTTGTTTGGCGATAGTCTACGATTAAGACGTTTTCTATGGTGATAGTCTACGATTAAGACGTTTTGTTTGGCGATAGTCTACGATTAAGACGTTTTCTATGGCGATAGTCTACGATTAAGAAGTTTTGTTTGGCGATAGTCTACGATTTAGAAGTTTTGTTTGGCGATAGTCTACGATTAAGACGTTTTCTATGGTGATAGTCTACGATTAAGACGTTTTCTATGGTGATAGTCTACGATTAAGAAGTTTTGTGCGGCGATAGTCTACGATTAAGAAGTTTTGTTTGGCGATAGTCTACGATTAAGAAGTTTTGTTTGGCGATAGTCTACGATTTAGAAGTTTTCTATGGTGATAGTCTACGATTAAGACGTTTTCTATGGTGATAGTCTACGATTAAGAAGTTTTGTTTGGCGATAGTCTACGATTTAGACGTTTTCTATGGTGATAGTCTACGATTAAGACGTTTTCTATGGTGATAGTCTACGATTAAGACGTTTTCTATGGCGATAGTCTACGATTAAGAAGTTTTGTGCGGCGATAGTCTACGATTAAGAAGTTTTGTTTGGCGATAGTCTACGATTAAGAAGTTTTGTTTGGCGATAGTCTACGATTTAGAAGTTTTGTGCGGCGATAGTCTACGATTAAGAAGTTTTGTTTGGCGATAGTCTACGATTTAGACGTTTTCTATGGTGATAGTCTACGATTAAGACGTTTTCTATGGTGATAGTCTACGATTAAGACGTTTTCTATGGCGATAGTCTACGATTAAGAAGTTTTGTGCGGCGATAGTCTACGATTAAGAAGTTTTGTTTGGCGATAGTCTACGATTATGACGTTTTCTATGGTGATAGTCTACGATTAAGACGTTTTCTATGGTGATAGTCTACGATTAAGAAGTTTTGTATGGCGATAGTCTACGATTAAGAGGTTTTCTATGGCGATAGTTTACGATTTAGAAGTTTTCTATGGTGATAGTCTACGATTAAGACGTTTTCTATGGTGATAGTCTACGATTAAGAAGTTTTGTATGGCGATAGTCTACGATTAAGAGGTTTTCTATGGCGATAGTCTACGATTTAGAAGTTTTCTATGGTGATAGTCTACGATTAAGACGTTTTCTATGGCGATAGTCTACGATTAAGAAGTTTTGTTTGGCGATAGTCTACGATTAAGAAGTTTTGTTTGGCGATAGTCTACGATTAAGACGTTTTCTATGGTGATAGTCTACGATTAAGACGTTTTCTATGGTGATAGTCTACGATTAAGACGTTTTCTATGGTGATAGTCTACGATGAAGACGTTTTCTATGGTGATAGTCTACGATTATGAAGTTTTCTATGGTGATAGTCTACGATTTAGACGTTTTCTATGGTGATAGTCTACGATTAAGACGTTTTCTATGGCGATAGTCTACGATTAAGAAGTTTTGTATGGCGATGGTCTACGATTAAGAAGTTTTGTATGGCGATGGTCTAAGATTAAGAAGTTTTGTTTGGCGAGTGTCTGTGTTTTAGTTTATTTCTAGAATGTCTGCCATAAATAGGTTAACTTGGCGAATATATTCGAGTAAGACTTTTTATTTGGCGAGTGTTTAAGACTACAAAGTTAAAAGTTTGGGAGTGTTTATAATAGCAGTATACCTTTCCATTTATCCCCAATGCCATTGTCTGGTGCCTTAGATACCAATATACGCGTCATGACACATGTACGGGTTAGGAAGTACGTGAAATCTCGAACGTTCCTTGTTCTTCGTGATATTGCTTTACTGATGCACGTGGAACCATTTTTTTTCTGAAACCATGTACTACATTTGAAGATTAAACCTATGTCGTTTTCTTATTCTCTTAATTTATATTCAATTCCTTAGTATTCGAGTTTGTATTAATCAACACAAAATGAAATCTATCTGTCGTCTGAATTTTGGATGCTGATTTTTCATTGATTCAAAGGCCCTTATCAGGTTATGGTTTTGACTATTGACCGGTAACATGACAACACAAAGCTTTTATGATAGCTACTTATTTTTGAGAACTCTTTTAACAACTCTTATTGATTCACTAAAATAACGTTACAACCTAATCCAGCAAAATCGATTCTTTTTACTTTGTTTTAAAATTAATGCTTATTATTTTTAATTGATTATTTGTTATCAAAGTTTTAAGTCAAAACATATGTTCATGGTGTATCTATAGAGACCATACGTGTGGAAAACTAACTATGAAAAAAACAATCTTTCACGAACGCGCACCTATCAAATTAATTACTTCAGCGAAACAATTTAAGCGAAATCAGGCTTCAATTTTGCATTAGTAAACCTTACTGAAAACTCACAGGAACCGTTTTTCTGGAACTACATATAGTCTCAAAACTTCTTTTGTATTGCCGGCCTATGTTACTGTGTTCCATATAGTTAAAAACTTTTTTGTTGTGATAAAGTATGTAGATAGTCTCAAGTCTCGGGTACATCACTCCTAAGCAATACTTCGTACCAAAACCTCGTAGAAGCAAACATACCAACAAACCTCTAGAACGAGTGTTCCATAATCAGTATCATAGCAGCCAAAAAAGAACACTTCAATGTTATTCATCTACAAGATGCAGAGGTATCACTGTATCACCTGATCAAAACTTCTGTCAACCTCGACCTCCATGGTATTCGATCACTTGTGGAGGAAGAGTTTCATATTGAACACCCTTGGCTCGCGAAGACGCTTTTTCCATATAACTAGGATTCATGTGAACAAGAGGTGGAAATTGGTACGTTTAAATTGAGATCAATACATGATGTAAATTTGTTAAGTCTCATCAAACTTCCTTTTACCTCATCAGAAGACACTAGGATTGACTGCGAGTTTGAGAGCAGATTTATCTAAATTAACCTCAACTTTTACACACTGTACATGCGTAATCACTATTCTATCTATTGACTGAATTTCTGTTCGCAACTGAGCCCTTGGTCACATCCGTCTTCACTCAAGTGTTTCCATAGACGCTGTCATTGCACCTCCACTTGCTCTCGTACAAGCAGCGATCACCAGTATCGCGGCCATGCTGCTGAAATCTCCACAATGCACTACCAACGTCTGACTGAGATAGCACTACAAAGTGAATCGTCCACTGGCATTCACGTCAGAGGAATCTTTGAAAAGACATGCAAATATATGTACTTGGTCAAGAAGGCCCTCATGCAATATCAAATAGAACAAAACCTACAAATTAGTGGCATACTTTTAAAAATTGCCAGGGATTTATCGAGGGTTTTAGGAAGAACAGAAAAAAAACCACGAGGCCAATCAGTCCAGAGATAATTTGCAATTGATACAGTTGTGGATACTGACCTTGTCTGCTACCAGTGTGCTTTACGTTCACCACCACTTTCTTAGATAGTCGTTCGTGAAACTAAGCCTATATATGACACAAATTAAGTGATTGTATTGAAACATCTTAAAATATAGATTCATTAATATACACTTTTGTGTTAGTCTTATGACACTTCAATGGATACTAATAGGAAATATTATGTTATCCACAGCAGCTTTGAGAAAATCTTAATTGGCTTAAACGTATATAAGCAGAGATAGACTAATCATTTAGCCAGTTAATGAACAATGATTATAAGAAAACTGTAAAAGAACATCAGTGCCAACATTCATTAAGAATAAAGACGCGGCATGCTGATCCAACAGCAGAGCTTACCATCCAACAATATCAAGACTTGTACAAACCAGAAATCCAAGAAGGATATTGGCACCCGCCATCGTATGATTTTATTGATTTATAATACGCATAAATAAGTACTTTTCTTAGCCTGATCATTCTCATAATGAACCATGCATAAGCTTATCAAGAAATAGCGTTATGAAGTTTTCAAACTGATCAAAACCTAAGATAGCCAAATGTCAACCAATCCGTCTCTCTAACCAGTCCCAAATTGACCATGAAAGACCAGGAACCAAAATGAAGTTCGAAACAAATTTATCAAGTACAAGAAATAGCGACGACAAACTATTAAACATGTACTGCCAAGATTCAATATGGCCTTATGTTTGCCATTTTGTTTCTTCGATCAGTCTTAAACTGAAGGACTGGCAACCGAGGTGAGTCTACGTATGAAATTTGAGAAAGACCCGTCTTGTGTTTATTGAGAAACAGTGATAACAATTTTCAACTTTCAAAATCTCAACTCGGACAAATGGTCTCCTTAAAGAAGCTAATAGAAATTGAAAATGCCCGCCATTATTATGTAAAGGGTCAGGGTCAGTAATTTGCCAAGTAAAGAGTATTGTTTCCTATTGTTGCCAATATATTTAAAGGGTTGTTCATGGATTTTACAGCCATTTCATGTGAAAAATAGACCATCTCTAAATTGAATGATTGAATCACAAATTTTGCCAATTTTGTTTTAACTTAATTTCTCATACTTATTTAGCAGAAAACGCACAAAACTAACCATCAATATTTAACATTTAAAAACGAAATGTTCATTTTACACGAGCATAGTCCCTGTAACCCTCGGTATACATAAAAAAGTGTATTTTAACGGGTCCTAAAACCATTGCCCCAGCTGTCATAAACCTGCATTTGAAAATATTGTGTGCTCTTATACCTTATGTTTAGTGATAAACTCTCAGCATACATGAACATGTGTATTTTAAGAGGTCTTCAAACTACGAATCAGCTACACGTAATCATTATAAACAGATATCTTGGAAGCAGCGAAGTTTGTAAACTGGTAAAGAATATCCACAAAAAAGGAACAACGTAATCATCTGTCTATGATACACAGGGCAAGTGAAAAACTGTAAGTCATTCAGTAAGTTTATTTTTTCAGAAATTTGACAAAAGTATAAAGCCGTAAAACAGCCCTGAAATCATTTATCGAATCATACATCGTCAATATTACTTACTTAATATAAAACGGGCAAGGTAGATTATAACTAGAAAGTGTATGACTATATGGTCGCATCCGCGATTCTCCAGGGGTCAGCTCACTTTCGCTCTCTGCAACCCTAGAACATGTCATGGTAAAATTGAAGGCACAATCGAAGTAATCTTACTGGTTCCATAAGAAAAAAAACTGACCAATCACAGGCTGATACGCTCCTTCTGAAGAAGCGACATCGAACTTCAAAGCCATTACAATGTACCGTTTTGCAACCTTGAGATACATTTGATATACATGAAAGGATCAATATAGTCTTTTCGCCCTGTCATCAAGGCCCCGAACATGGAACCTTCCATTTTGTCCAGGGGTGCAGCCAGTGAATGTGATTGTAACCCCTGGAGTATCGAGGATGACATGACCTATGTAGAAGATGAGAGGAATTAATGTCTCGTATACATCAGTGTATATGGCATGAAGTGCGTTACATTATGGCCACTGTCCCGTCCCCTTTAATTCCAGATCTGCATTCTCTACATAGCTGGAGTTACAGCAGAGGCCAATGAGAGTACACTTCACACGGAGTACACTGATCTTATATGTTTGAAACGTGTTGGTAATTATTAAGACGGGCATCTCTTGAAAAAGATCTCACCTGTCTTTCATAAAGCATATGAATAAAACAAAACATAAATGTCACAGATGGACTCATGGGAAAGACAAACGGACACACAGACACTCATTTTTCCTATCGTCAATGCTTCTATACAGATAAAATAAGGAAAGAAATGAAAAACTAAATGATAATAAACTTAAGGTTCTAGTTATTTTTGTTACATAGTTGTATTTTCAGGTTTGTAAGGATGACATACAGTTATACAAAGGGAAAACAACACTTTATATGTGACAGCAGCAGACATTGATATAACCATTTAATCTTACAAAAGTCACAAACATCATAAATACATGTACCTGCACAATGATATTCTTGGTGACGTTCAAAACACATATTCCAGACAACCAAGACATCCATTCCTTATGTAGACTTCGTATATATATATATATATATCAGTGGAGACATCAAATACAACTTTACTCAGATTGCAATTTATAATCTAATTTCAGAACAAGCAACCGCGGTCTACGACTTTTACAGAAAAAATATGATAACTAGACAGATACTGTGGAATTTTAGCAGTAATAAATAATACAGACGATTTTCTTTATCAATGTGTGAATGTAGTACAAAAAGGTACCACTTGACTCTACCTTCTACACAATAAATGGGAGTTATTCCCCTTACCATACAAGTTTCGGGAGTTATTCCCCTTACCACACAAGTTTCTGCACTTTCAGTGTTGGCCGATAGCTCAACCTGATAAAATCTACACCAAGTCTCAGTGGTGACACTTTTTACATTACAATTGTAAACGGTCACTTACAGAAGATTAAATAAGGATCTATTTCTACTGAAATGTCTTATAACTTAAAATAATAGATCAGAAGTATTAAGGGTTTAAAATAAAATAAAAATGTGTTTACTTTATTGACAAATGAATATCTTTTAAAAGCTAACAACCATTCATCTTTACATAACTACACAACTTTGATAACTGCAACATTCTCACACATACAGCATTTAATGTGATTATATTAGCAAAGTATGACATTCACATTTTTTTTTTCATTCACAGGAGCATTTGGCAGTTACATCAGAGAGCTTAGCGACACACCTAAGAGGACTAGTACAGACAGTATGGGTACAAATTTACACAGGTGTTATATATAGCAGGAACAATTGGACCCTCATAATCACAGTAGTCAATCAGTCACAGTCACTCCTTCAATGTGGTGTTAATCATTAATTACTAACAATCATTCATCATTTCGTCACCAAATTCTTAACTGTCACTAAACCAATACTATTGATGACCAATTATCAATCACAAATAATCAATATACATGAACATCAATAACATTAATACTTGTCATGCTAATACAGCATTCCTAAGTCAATATTCACATAAACTAACCAATCACAATTATAATACATGTAAAAATCAACCAATCAATTTTTTTTAAGTTCTTCAACTGGTGCAATAGATTGCATTAGAACACAGAATGGAAGCTTATTAAACACTTTGTTCAATGGTTATATAAGGTCTTGTTATCCAACCAACTCAAATTCCTCATCACTGTCATCTTGTGTTCCAACTTCAGTGAAACCTGTTGCCAAAAAACCAAAATCAATCTTTATTAATCAGTAAATTCTAGACACATTATCTAAAAGCTTATTACTGTTTTTCAAGAATCAACATACATGTATACCTATATCATGTGAAACATATTAATGTCTTGGTACCAGGTAATACCAATTTTGAACACAAAATAAAAATATTCTGTTTCTCATAGAACTGCTGCAGAAGGTATACAACGGGACAATGGACTGCTATCTATTTCCTAGTGTAACATTCTGTTTCTCATGGAACTGCTGTAGAAGGTATATAGTGGGACAATGGACTGCTATCTATTTTCCAGTGTAACATTCTGTTTCTCATAGAACTGCTGTAGAAGGAATGAATTGGTCTGTTAATTCTCAACTTTTATCAACTTCTGTTTAAACATGAGCTGAACAAAGGTAGGATATCTTATTTCTTACAAACCTGTTGTAGATGATGAAAGCCCAGTATAAGGTTCATATGGAGGCCAGTGGGAAGGCCTATCCTGGAACATTTCAAACATGGGTGTCTTCTTGGCATCAGTAATGTGTTTGCGTGCCTGACTACAAAAATCTGTAAAGTCCTCCTCATTTCGACAATAAAATCCCTGAAAGGCACATCAAGTATTATTCATGAGTGGATATAAAGCAACCATTTTTATTTTTATTTTTATACGCCACAATAAAGAAATCTTAGACACATCTGGGAATTCATTGGGACAATTTCTGAAAGGGTCAGACTTCATTATACATACGACAGCTGCAGCTGACTTATATGTATGAAGCTATAATGGGCTCAGGAATTTTTAAACAAATGGCAGCTATAGGCAGCTTAGGTTTTGTAACATATGACAGCAATAGACGGCACAGACTTTATAATACATACAACAGCAAATGAGAGCTCAGACATTGTTATACACCTGACAGCTATAGAGGGCTCAAATTTTGTTATTCATCTGACAGCTATTGAGGGTTCAGTCTTTGTTATACATTAAGTATGACAGCTATAGAGAGCTCAATCTTTGTTACACATCTGACAGCTATAAAGGGCTCATGCTTTGTTATACATCTGACAGCTATAGAGGGCTCAAGCTTTGTTATACATCTGACAGCTATTGAGGGTTCAGTCTTTGTTATACATTAAGTATGACAGCTATAGAGAGCTCAATCTTTGTTACACATCTGACAGCTATAAAGGGCTCATGCTTTGTTATACATCTGACAGCTATAGAGGGCTCAAGCTTTGTTATACATCTGACAGCTATAGAGGGCTCAAATTTTGTTATACATCTGACAGCTATTGAGGGCTCAATCTTTGTTACACATCTGACAGCTATAAAGGGCTCAAGCTTTGTTATACATCTGACAGCTATGGAGGGTTCAAGCTTTGTCATACATAAGACGGCTATAGAGGGCTCAAGCTTTATAATACATCTGACAGCTATTGAGAGCTCAAGCTTTGTTATACAGCTGACAGCTATTGAGAGCTCATGCTTTGTTAAACATCTGACAGCTATAGAGGGCTCAAGCTTTGTTATACATCTGACAGCTATAGAGGGCTCAAGCTTTGTTATACATCTGACAGCTATAAAGGGCTCAAGCTTTGTTATACATCTGACAGCTATAGAGGGCTCAAGCTTTGTTATACATCTGACAGTTATAGAGGGCTCAAGCTTTGTTATACACCTGACAGCTATTGAGAGCTCAAGCTTTGTTATACACCTGACAGCTATTGAGAGCTCAAGCTTTGTTAAACATCTGACAGCTATAGAGGGCTCAAGCTTTGTTATACATCTGACAGCTATAGAGGGCTCAAGCTTTGTTATACATCTGACAGCTATAAAGGGCTCATGCTTTGTTATACATCTGACAGCTATAGAGGGCTCAAGCTTTGTTATACATCTGACAGTTATAGAGGGCTCAAGCTTTGTTATACACCTGACAGCTATTGAGAGCTCAAGCTTTGTTATACATCTGACAGCTATAGAGGGCTCATGCTTTGTTATACATCTGACAGCTATAGAGGGCTCAAGCTTTGTTATACATCTGACAGCTATAGAGGGCTCAAATTTTGTTATACACTTGACAGCTATAGAGGGCTCAAATTTTGTTATACACCTGACAGCTATAGAGGGCTCAAGTTTTGTTATACACCTGACAGCTATTGAGGGCTCAAGTTTTGTTATACACCTGACAGCTATAGAGGGCTCAAGCTTTGTTATACATCTGACAGCTATGGAGGGTTCAAGCTTTGTTATACATCTGACAGCTATAAAGGGCTCAAGCTTTGTTATACATCTGACAGCTATAGAGGGCTCAAGCTTTGTTATACATCTGACAGCTATTGAGGGCTCAAGTTTTGTTATACACCTGACAGCTATAGAGGGCTCAAGCTTTGTTATACATCTGACAGCTATAGAGGGCTCAAGCTTTGTTATACATCTGACAGCTATAGAGGGCTCAAGCTTTGTTATACATCTGACAGCTATAGAGGGCTCAAGCTTTGTTATACATCTGACAGTTATAGAGGGCTCAAGTTTTGTTATACATCTGACAGTTATAGAGGGCTCAATTTTTGTTATTCATCTGACAGCTATTGAGGGTTCAGTCTTTGTTATACATTAAGTATGACAGCTATAGAGAGCTCAATCTTTGTTACACATCTGACAGCTATAGAGGGCTCAAGCTTTGTTATACATCTGACAGCTATAGAGGGCTCATGCTTTGTTATACATCTGACAGCTATAGAGGGCTCAAGCTTTGTTATACATCTGACAGCTATTGAGGGCTCAAATTTTGTTATACACCTGACAGCTATAGAGGGCTCAAATTTTGTTATACATCTGACAGCTATGGAGGGTTCAAGCTTTGTCATACATAAGACGGCTATAGAGGGCTCAAGCTTTATAATACATCTGACAGCTATTGAGAGCTCAAGCTTTGTTATACAGCTGACAGCTATTGAGAGCTCAAGCTTTGTTAAACATCTGACAGCTATAGAGGGCTCAAGCTTTGTTATACATCTGACAGCTATGGAGGGCTCAAGCTTTGTTATACATCTGACAGCTATAGAGGGCTCAAGCTTTGCTATACATACAGTATGACAGCTATAGAGGGCTCAAGCTTTGTTATACACCTGACAGCTATAGAGGGCTCAAGCTTTGTTATACATCTGACAGCTATAGAGGGCTCAAGCTTTGTTATACATCTGACAGCTATAGAGGGCTCAAGCTTTGTTATACACCTGACAGCTATAGAGGGCTCAAGCTTTGTTATACACCTGACAGCTATAGAGGGCTCAAATTTTGTTATACATCTGACAGCTATAGAGGGCTCAAGCTTTGTTATACATCTGACAGCTATAGAGGGCTCAAGATTTGTTATACATCTGACAGCTATAGAGGGCTCAAGCTTTGTCATACATCTGACAGCTATAGAGGGCTCAAGCTTTGTTATACACCTGACAGCTATAGAGGGCTCAAGCTTTGTTATACATCTGACAGCTATAGAGGGCTCAAGCTTTGTTATACATCTGACAGCTATAGAGGGCTCAAGCTTTGCTATACATACAACGGCTATAGAAGGGTCGAGTTCTGTGACCTTCATCAGACTTGGGTACTTGCAGTGGTAGCTCTGATCACTACTTGTAGGATCGTCTAGGTCTGCGACTCCTTGTGTTGTATGTGGGTCCAGGAATACAAGTTTGTCACCTGGATGTAACCAAATGCCAGGATTAATCATCTAAGGTACAGGTGTTCATGTAACACAAAAGTCATACAACAGGTCATACAGGTTTTCATCTTATGTCCAGGTGTTCTTATAACAGGTCATACAGGTTTTCATCTAAAGTCCACGTGTTCATATAATGTACAGTTGTTTCTACCTAACTACAAACTATAATTCATCTTATTAAAGTAGCCTAAATCATTAACAAAAGACCTTAAGGGCCTTTATAACTCAGTAAAAGTTATCCATAAAACAAACTCACACATTATGGTACTTACCTACGAAACCTACAAACCAGTGAGCATGGTTGGGACGACCTCCAATTATGCCTACACTTTGTCTGAATGTGAAACATCTCTGTAAGGAAAGATATGAAGCCAAAATATTTACAAATATTTTTTATGTTATATTTAATTCTGAGTCTAGTTGATAAGTGGCCTTCAAAAATATAATCCTAGTGATCAGATGTTTACAATGTGTGATCACAACACAGTAAAATCATATGGGTGTATGATAAATCAATTTTAATAATGCTACCCAACCTAAAAAATTGTACTTTGATTCAAGCAAAAAGGCAATATTTGACAGGTCCAGACTTTGGATACTTCACCATAATTAAGTGAATCATCTCCAATAGCATTTCTATAATGGCCTATTCTTTGGACATTAGAAAATTCACTATTATTTTTTATTTTTTACAAATTGTCCATCATCAAGAATATCTATAATGCTGGCTCAAACTCATAGAATTTCTAGGAAAAATGAACTTTAAACTCTTAGCATTTCTATATAATTCTGTCATAATTATAGACACTGATGCAAGTTTCCTCCCTTTGACAGGAAACTCCCCTTGCCTAGATATTAAGTGTTATCTTAATATCCTTATGAGAATCTCCACATCAATTGGACATTTAATGTCGCAAATAATTTGACAAACTGTTTGCTTCATAAGTTCTTTAATTAAATGAAACAGGTTTTTGTCTATAGTTGCAGTAAACGAGTCTATCATCAGGTTTGCCTTTCTAAATAAACCTGATTGAGGAAACCAGAAACCTGCAATATCCCTCCAGAACATACTTTACCTGTATGATGTACTGACTTACAGACTATATATATATACAGAGTGGATGTCAGACCTCTCAGTGGTATTTATATATACAGAGTGGATGTCAGACCTATGAGTGGTATCTAGATCTATACTTACTTACAGACTTCCAATATATACACAGTGGATGTCAGACCTCTGAGTGGTATCTAGAGGTATCTAGATCTATACTTACTTTCAGACTATCTATATACACAGAGTTGATGTCAGACCTATGAGTGGTATCTAGATCTAAACTTTCTTTAAGACTATCTATATATATATATATACAGAGTGGATGTCAGACCTCTGAGTGGTATCTAGATCTATATATATAGAGAGTGGATGTCAAACCTCTGAGTGGTATCTATATATACAGAGTGGATGTCAGACCTCTGAGTGGTATCTAGATCTATATATATACAGAGTGGATGTCAGACCTCTGAGTGGTATCTAGATCTATATATATACAGAGTGGATGTCAGACCTCTGAGTGGTATCTAGATCTATATATATATACAGAGTGGATGTCAGACCTCTGAGTGGTATCTAGATCTATATATATACAGAGTGGATGTCAGACCTCTGAGTGGTATCTATATATACAGAGTGGATGTCAGACCTCTGAGAGGTATCTATATATACAGAGTGGATGTCAGACCTCTGAGAGGTATCTAGATCTATACTTACTTTCAGACTATCTATATATATACAGAGTGCATGTCAGACCTATGAGTGGTATCTAGATCTATACTTACTTTAAGACTATCTATATATATATATACAGAGTGGATGTCAGACCTATGAGTGGTATCTAGATCTATATATATACAGAGTGGATGTCAGACCTATGAGTGGTATCTAGATCTATACTTACTTTCAGACTATCTATATATATATACAGAGTGGATGTCAGACCTATGAGTGGTAGCTAGATCTATATATATACAGAGTGGATGTCAGACCTCTGAGTGGTATCTAGATCTATATATATACAGAGTGGATGTCAGACCTATGAGAGGTATCTAGATCTATACTTACTTTCAGACTATCTATATACACAGAGTTGATGTCAGACCTATGAGTGGTATCTAGATCTATATATATACAGAGTGGATGTCAGACCTATGAGTGGTATCTAGATCTATATATATACAGAGTGGATGTCAGACCTCTGAGTGGTATCTAGATCTATACTTACTTTCAGACTATCTATATACACAGAGTTGATGTCAGACCTATGAGTGGTATCTAGATCTATATATATACAGAGTGGATGTCAGACCTATGAGTGGTATCTAGATCTATATATACAGAGTGGATGTCAGACCTATGAGTGGTATCTAGATCTATACTTACTTTAAGACTATCTATATATATATACAGAGTGGATGTCAGACCTATGAGTGGTAGCTAGATCTATATATATACAGAGTGGATGTCAGACCTATGAGTGGTATCTAGATCTATACTTACTTTCAGACTATCTATATATATATACAGAGTGGATGTCAGACCTATGAGTGGTATCTAGATCTATATATATACAGAGTGGATGTCAGACCTATGAGTGGTATCTAGATCTATATATATACAGAGTGGATGTCAGACCTATGAGTGGTATCTAGATCTATATATATACAGAGTGGATGTCAGACCTATGAGTGGTAGCTAGATCTATACTTACTTTCAGACTATCTATATACACAGAGTTGATGTCTGTTAGACCAAGCCTAAGCGGTATCACAAGAAGAAGAGGTTTCCAATGCCCTGGCTTCCCCTTTAGTTTGTGGTTTTTATCAAAATGACTTGATCCACCTTCTGCTCCTTTGACATTCTGACATCCAATAATATCACAGCTATCCTTATCTTTGCCATCCAAGCATAAACCTCCTGAGGAGATGAGGTCAAAGGTCACAATTACACAGCTCATATATCAATCACATGATAAAGATTTCTGTTACGGGAATAAATCAATAACACATGCAATTTGTGTGATAATTTCCAGAGGATGATTCACCAAGAATACAAAGACATTTCCAATATATTGTAAATAATAATGTATTGACATATGAGGTTTTTCCTTATTAACGGACCATTCTGTTGTCAATGTCACTAGTCACAACTGAATTGCATCATCATTTGATGAAATAATTAAAGAACATCACTACTCTATACATGTTTCAAGGACCATTTATTGTGGCATGACCTGTTCATCACAACACATCAACAGAAATATTCAATCACCTTATATTCTAGAATCTTGATGATTACATCAGACAGCTCTGAACGATTACATCAATCAATGGTAATGATACTCACGAATATCATTTTCTATCACAGTGTTGTCCATGGCTACATGGATCACAAGGTTGGACCAGTCATCATACACTGCCAGCTTCCTAAAATAGACAAATCCAAATACCTCATCATACACTAATTCCCTTATTGTCAAAAATAAGTGTAATTTTGGCTGTCCATCTACTCATACACGTAGAAATATCTTACCTAGATTCTCTAAATGATGAAAACACCTTTTGATCACTTATGTGGTTCTACAAACACCAATGGAAAGTTGATGTTTCTCTAATTTTAATTTCTATTTTAAAACATCTTCAATCACCAGCTCTCCAATATGAATGATCTCTTGGTAAATCACAAGCTTTCTAGGGAATTGCAGAATAAATCGTTCAAATACTGAATATCCATGTGTCACCTATACTTACTTTAACACTTGCGCAACAGTGTTTGGTCCAAACCACTGGCCAACAGCTTTGCCCTCTGACACGCCCATAGACGCTAACAAAACAAAGCATAGATTTGTCTTCATCTGTGGCATTAAACACAGGCCAAGACTAAGGTCACATTCAAATAAGTGGTGGAAACAGTTGGCCCGGTTGAACCTGCATGAAAAACGCCAGGTACCGATCGGACCCAAGGCTGGACTGTGAAATATTTGGCAAATACAGATTGAGGGGTCTAGCCCTACATGTCTGAAACTAACTTGCTAAATATCATTAGTTTTCAGAATTTCAGCATTAAGCAGGGCCAGTGCTTGCACAAATACCCATTAACTGTTGGCTATGTTATGCTTAGGAGTCCAGGTTCAAATGGATGATGATTTCTTTTTGACTCAATGTTTCATGTTTGACAGGAAATTCAAAAACTGCACTTTAAGTTTTACATACATGCAGTTCCAACACCCAAATATATTTGCATTCATTCATCTTAGAATAATTTCGGGCTACCTGAACTATTCAAACCAAGTTACGCAAAAGTGGCCTAAAAGTAGTGATGTTTTCCTAAATGTCATGGGTCAAAGAACATATTCTTTCAATATATGAAACATTATAATTTTGAAGAGTTTCACCGATCTATGGCTGATGTCCCATTGTTTCAAAAATCTAAAACACTTTGAATCATTTAAGTTATTGAATTCTCCTATAATCCAAAGTATTTGTGTTTTATTTGTGTAAATTAATACCAGACAACTGACAACAAACTAAAAGATGACTTCACCTGACTTTTTCCTTCAACTTATGAACCATAAGAACAACAACATTACTGTACTATCAAAGAAAAAGCGTTTTCAACGATTGTATTATCTAGATAAGTTCTGTGTTAGCTTGATATGTTTTCTTCTTTCTCTTTAATGCATTTTTTTTTTAGAATTGTGAATGAGACAGGTGGTAAAGACACAGGAAGAGAGTCTTAGATATGGAATTCAAATACAATCTATGATTCAAAAGTTACTGACAAATGACAATAACAAATTTTACCTGTTAGAATCCAAGATGGCTAAATTACAGCCATTTTGTTTTTGGATCAGAGCTTAAAAGAAATATTCATGTATAAGCACAGAAAAGTCTTCCTTATTTCTTCTCATTAAATAGTACATGTAAGAACATCTTTAACTGTAAGATTGAAGATTTCTGGACATGTGAATATTGTTCTTACAGTAGCGTATACATCTGGCCCCACTTGTATAAAACATCTCAACTTGAGATTTCCTCAAGTCGAGATTTTCCTCAGCTGATATCTCCTTGAAAATATCTTGTTATGAAAATTCCTCAAGGAATTTCAGGACATCCTAGCTGATGACTTCCTCCTGTTCCTTGAGAAAAATTTATACAAGCCGTTTTTGAGGAGATATCAGCTGAGGAAAATCTCGACTTGAGGAAATCTCAAGTTGAGATGTTTTATACAAGTGGGGCCTGATCTTTGACCAAAAGTGATATCATTTAAGCATTCATATGTACACACCTATCTGCTGTATGGAGTAGTTGGCACTTTTTTTGTCCTGAAACAAGCTGAGAATTCTCCAGTATATGTCATCATGATGACCATTATCCGCCCACACCCATTCTGTAACCAGAAAACTTTTTTTCTACTAAAAACAGAAATATCAATATGCTCAATTCACATTGGCATCAAGAAATCATAAAATGAATCAATTCAAATGAATTTTCTGAAACGAAAGCCCATTGAATTTTCTATGCATTTCTCATATTTAATATTAATTAAAATAATCAAGCAGTGTTGACTCAGGACTGTACATTACACTGTCAATAGACATCTCACTGTACCTGGACAGTGCATGCTTCCCTAAATAGTTCATAATTGTTATATTCTACAAGCTTCTGTGATTGAGTGCTCCAACCTTACAGCTTGAAATCTTACCTCTTCCACAATGGTGAACCAGAAGTGTTTGTGCTAGCATCATTTGACCACAGCGTAACATACATCCCCAGCCTGTGTCTCCCGTTGGCCCTGTGCCACCTGTCAGATACATAGCAATGTCAAGTCAATGTGTTACAAACTAACAGCATCACCACAGCACCATCAATGTTAATTCAGGAACAATGCTCTAATGAATAGTTATCCATACAGAAATTAATTTGAACACAGAAAACTTTCCATGTTGACAGCCTCCAATAAATATTTCCTTTCTGATTTAAGCCTATTAGTATTTGCACCATTGAAGAGCAGGAATAATAGACTTTATTTCATGAGGATTTAAGAATGTGTTTGGCCTAATTCAAAATATATAATGAAATGTTCTCATTCTTAACTGAAATTCTCCAGATCTGAGTATTAGGTACAGCTTAATAAATGGCTAATATATACCAACACATCTGAGTATCAGACGCAACTTAATAAATGGCTGATGTTTAACAACACATCTGAGTATCAGACACAACTTGATAAATGGCTGATATATACCAACATATCTGAGTATCAGGTACATCTTAATAAATGGCTGATATTACCAACACATCTGAGTACCAGACACAACTTAATAAATGGCTGATGTTTACCAACATATCTGAGTATCAGACACAACTTAAAAAATGGCTGATATATACCAACACATCTGAGTATCAGGTACATCTTAATAAATGGCTGATATATACCAACACATCTGAGTATCAGAAAACAACTTAATAAATGGCTGATATATACCAACACATCTGAGTATCAGGTACATCTTAATAAATGGCTAATATATACCAACACATCTGTGTATCAGGTACAACTTAAAAAATGGCTGATGTTTACCAACATATCTGTGTATCAGACACAACTTGATAAATGGCTGATGTTTACCAACACATCTGAGTATCAGGTACATCTTAATAAATGGCTGATGTTTACCAACATATCTGAGTATCAGACACAACTTAAAAAATGGCTGATATATACCAACACATCTGAGTATCAGGTACATCTTAATAAATGGCTGATATATACCAACACATCTGAGTATCAGACACAACTTCATAAATGGCTGATGTTTACTAACATATCTGAGTATCAGACACAACTTGATAAATGGCTGATATATACCAACATATCTGAGTATCAGGTACATCTTAATAAATGGCTGATATTACCAACACATCTGAGTACCAGACACAACTTAATAAATGGCTGATGTTTACCAACATATCTGAGTATCAGACACAACTTAAAAAATGGCTGATATATACCAACACATCTGAGTATCAGGTACATCTTAATAAATGGCTGATATATACCAACACATCTGAGTATCAGAAAACAACTTAATAAATGGCTGATATATACCAACACATCTGAGTATCAGGTACATCTTAATAAATGGCTAATATATACCAACACATCTGTGTATAAGGTACAACTTAAAAAATGGCTGATGTTTACCAACATATCTGTGTATCCGACACAACTTGATAAATGGCTGATGTTTACCAACACATCTGAGTATCAGGTACATCTTAATAAATGGCTGATGTTTACCAACATATCTGAGTATCAGACACAACTTAAAAAATGGCTGATATATACCAACACATCTGAGTATCAGACACAACTTCATAAATGGCTGATATATACCAACACATCTGAGTATCAGACACAACTTCATAAATGGCTGATGTTTACCAACATATCTGAGTATCAGACACAACATAAAAAATGGCTGATATATACCAACATATCTGAGTATCAGACACAACTTAAAAAATGGCTGATATATACCAACACATCTGAGTATCAGGTACATCTTAATAAATGGCTGATATATACCAACACATCTGAGTATCAGACACAACTTAATAAATGGCTGATGTTTACCAACACATCTGAGTATCAGACACAACTTCATAAATGGCTGATGTTTACCAACATATCTGAGTATCAGACACAACTTCATAAATGGCTGATGTTTACCAACATATCTGAGTATCAGACACAACTTAAAAAATGGCTGATATACACCAACATATCTGAGTATCAGACACAACTTAAAAAATGGCTGATATATACCAACACATCTGAGTATCAGGTACATCTTAATAAATGGCTGATATATACCAACACATCTGAGTATCAGACACAACTTAATAAATGGCTGATGTTTACCAACACATCTGAGTATCAGACACAACTTCATAAATGGCTGATGTTTACCAACACATCTGAGTATCAGACACAACTTCATAAATGGCTGATGTTTACCAACACATCTGAGTATCTGACACAACTTAATAAATGGTTGATGTTTACCAACACATCTGAGTATCAGGTACATCTTAATAAATGGCTGATGTTTACCAACACATCTGAGTATCAGACACAACTTAAAAATGGCTGATGTTTACCAACACATCTGAGTATCAGACACAACTTCATAAATGGCTGATGTTTACCAACACATCTGAGTATCTGACACAACTTAATAAATGGTTGATGTTTACCAACACATCTGAGTATCAGGTACATCTTAATAAATGGCTGATGTTTACCAACACATCTGAGTATCAGACACAACTTAATAAATGGCTAATATATACCAACACATCTGAGTATCAGACACAACTTAAAAAATGGCTGATATATACCAACACATCTGAGTATCAGGTACATCTTAATAAATGGCTGATGTTTACCAACACATCTGTGTATCAGACACAACTTAAAAAATGGCTGATATATACCAACACATCTGTGTATCTGACACAACTTAAAAAATGGCTGATATATACCAACACATCTGTGTATCTGACACAACTTAATAAATGGCTGATGTTTACCAACACATCTGTGTATCAGACACAACTTAAAAAATGGCTGATGTTTACCAACACATCTGAGTATCAGACACAACTTAATAAATGGCTGATATATACCAACACATCTGAGTATCAGACACAACTTAATAAATGGCTGATATATACCAACACATCTGAGTATCAGACACAACTTAATAAATGGCTGATATATACCAACACATCTGAGTATCAGGTACATCTTAATAAATGGCTAATATATACCAACACATCTGTGTATCAGGTACAACTTAAAAAATGGCTGATGTTTACCAACATATCTGTGTATCAGACACAACTTGATAAATGGCTGATGTTTACCAACACATCTGAGTATCAGGTACATCTTAATAAATGGCTGATGTTTACCAACATATCTGAGTATCAGACACAACTTAAAAAATGGCTGATATATACCAACACATCTGAGTATCAGGTACATCTTAATAAATGGCTGATATATACCAACACATCTGAGTATCAGACACAACTTCATAAATGGCTGATGTTTACTAACATATCTGAGTATCAGACACAACTTGATAAATGGCTGATATATACCAACATATCTGAGTATCAGGTACATCTTAATAAATGGCTGATATTACCAACACATCTGAGTACCAGACACAACTTAATAAATGGCTGATGTTTACCAACATATCTGAGTATCAGACACAACTTAAAAAATGGCTGATATATACCAACACATCTGAGTATCAGGTACATCTTAATAAATGGCTGATATATACCAACACATCTGAGTATCAGAAAACAACTTAATAAATGGCTGATATATACCAACACATCTGAGTATCAGGTACATCTTAATAAATGGCTAATATATACCAACACATCTGTGTATAAGGTACAACTTAAAAAATGGCTGATGTTTACCAACATATCTGTGTATCCGACACAACTTGATAAATGGCTGATGTTTACCAACACATCTGAGTATCAGGTACATCTTAATAAATGGCTGATGTTTACCAACATATCTGAGTATCAGACACAACTTAAAAAATGGCTGATATATACCAACACATCTGAGTATCAGACACAACTTCATAAATGGCTGATATATACCAACACATCTGAGTATCAGACACAACTTCATAAATGGCTGATGTTTACCAACATATCTGAGTATCAGACACAACATAAAAAATGGCTGATATATACCAACATATCTGAGTATCAGACACAACTTAAAAAATGGCTGATATATACCAACACATCTGAGTATCAGGTACATCTTAATAAATGGCTGATATATACCAACACATCTGAGTATCAGACACAACTTAATAAATGGCTGATGTTTACCAACACATCTGAGTATCAGACACAACTTCATAAATGGCTGATGTTTACCAACATATCTGAGTATCAGACACAACTTCATAAATGGCTGATGTTTACCAACATATCTGAGTATCAGACACAACTTAAAAAATGGCTGATATACACCAACATATCTGAGTATCAGACACAACTTAAAAAATGGCTGATATATACCAACACATCTGAGTATCAGGTACATCTTAATAAATGGCTGATATATACCAACACATCTGAGTATCAGACACAACTTAATAAATGGCTGATGTTTACCAACACATCTGAGTATCAGACACAACTTCATAAATGGCTGATGTTTACCAACACATCTGAGTATCAGACACAACTTCATAAATGGCTGATGTTTACCAACACATCTGAGTATCTGACACAACTTAATAAATGGTTGATGTTTACCAACACATCTGAGTATCAGGTACATCTTAATAAATGGCTGATGTTTACCAACACATCTGAGTATCAGACACAACTTCATAAATGGCTGATGTTTACCAACACATCTGAGTATCTGACACAACTTAATAAATGGTTGATGTTTACCAACACATCTGAGTATCAGGTACATCTTAATAAATGGCTGATGTTTACCAACACATCTGAGTATCAGACACAACTTAATAAATGGCTAATATATACCAACACATCTGAGTATCAGACACAACTTAAAAAATGGCTGATATATACCAACACATCTGAGTATCAGGTACATCTTAATAAATGGCTGATGTTTACCAACACATCTGTGTATCAGACACAACTTAAAAAATGGCTGATATATACCAACACATCTGTGTATCTGACACAACTTAAAAAATGGCTGATATATACCAACACATCTGTGTATCTGACACAACTTAATAAATGGCTGATGTTTACCAACACATCTGTGTATCAGACACAACTTAAAAAATGGCTGATGTTTACCAACACATCTGAGTATCAGACACAACTTAATAAATGGCTGATATATACCAACACATCTGAGTATCAGACACAACTTAATAAATGGCTGATATATACCAACACATCTGAGTATCAGACACAACTTAATAAATGGCTGATATATACCAACACATCTGAGTATCAGGTATAGCTTATAACTAAATGGCTGATAAATACCAACATAACCCAGTATCAGGTAGATCTTACTAAATGGATGCTATATTTCTAAAGTCAAATGTATACACTACCTATTGCAGGGAAATTTCTTCTATAAGTCATCCATAACCTTGACACAAAATCACGATGTAGCTCCTCTCTGTCTGAAATTAAAATATCTCTCCATTCTTGTACAGCAGTAAGCATTAGATTAGGATAATCTCTATCCTTTTGTAACAAGCAATTTGTACATGCATAACTAACACCAGTATGCTCAAATAACAGAGAGCACTTGACTGCCAAATTCTCTTGATGATTTAAAACAAGACTTGGTATTATCTCCCCTTATTTATTGTATGATGGTAGATTGTATTCATATGGAAATGCTTTGCTACATTGTGTAACATGAAAAAGATTGTCATTCATGTACATTTTAATGGAGCATAATTTGAATAATTATTGCAAATCAAACAGAGCACTATAGCTTGTAACAATGTATATTTTACTACAATGTATGATATCAATTTACACATCAATGTTTATGATCCAGAGCGACAACGTACATGCAGGATTAACAAAAGACAGTTTGTATATGGTTCTTATAGCTAAAACAAGTACAAGTGGACATCAATAAGTCCTCTGTATGACTGTTACAAATCCCTCATGCAGTGCGTGGTGTAGATTTGTTGGAAATGTTACCATGAAGAGCACTGTAGGCTTTGCCTAAGATATATACAGGTTCCTCAGTTTGTGGAAAATCAGCACTGGCTACAGGACCACTTTCGTATGTAAATGTCCCTGTTGAAACACAAAAATTATAACAGGTATATACACATCTCTGTCTACTATATTACGTTTAATTCTAAACTGAGATAGCAATTTATTTCAGACTCTCATAGTCAACATTTGCTGGATGTTAATACATATTCCATGCTTTAATCAAAATTATTTCAAGGTGTGCAATTTTTATAAATATGTACATGTATATAGACATGTGACAATTTGATGACAGAACTTGGACATGAACTTTGATTTGAAATATGCTGCCCATAGTCTGAGGGGTTCTAACTTCTAACTTTCTACTTATGATTTTCTTACCTCACCAACATATTTTTCCATCTTTAAACAGTAAAACTCAATATGTCAAATTTGTAATAGGATGAAGTAATAAAAAACGGGCGCGACGATTTACCCAAATACACCCAAATGTACCCCAATACACCCAAATCTTTCACAAATATACCCAAATCTTACCCAAATATACCAAAATTAAGCCAAATCTTACCCAAATATACCCCAATATACCCAAATTAAGCCAAATCTTACCCACATATACCCAAAATCTACCCATATAAACCCAAATCTTACCCAAATATACTCAAATAAAGCCAAATCAATTTACAGGAAGGTGTCGTAACGGGCTCTGTATTATCAGGGACATATATCTGTTATTATCCTGGTATTATATCTTATTACTAATAAACGATATACACATGATCAAATAGGCTATCTTTGTCTAACTTAAGCTTTCATTTACTAAGGCAATTCATATAAATTCTGTAATACCATATAGGCTAATGGACAAAAACTGACAAAAATGAAGCGGGAACGAATTTGGATAAGATTTGGGTATATTTGGGTACGATTTGGCTTTATTTGGATGTATTTGGGTACGATTTGGCTTTATATGGATGTATTTGGGTACAATTTGGCTTTATTTGGATGTATTTGGGTACGATTTGGCTTTATATGGATGTATTTGGGTACAATTTGGCTTTATTTGGGTACGATTTGGCTTTATTTGGATGTATTTGGGTACGATTTGGCTTTATTTGGGTATATTTGGAAAGATTTTGGTGTATTTGGGTATATTTGGGTAAATTGGGTAAATTCCTCCTAATGAAGGCTAGTAAGGAAGTACTTTCAACTTCTACACTTCTCCCTCCTTCACAAAGTCTTCAATTCCGAAGACAACAACAATCAAGGTTTAATATCTCCAAAGAAGCATCTCAATCCCCTATAGCTTCTACACTTGGAGTGATCAACGACACCAAATTTGTAAAAGGAAGGAGTAATGGAAAATAACCTACCACCGCTGGGATATGAACTAGCGACCCTTCGGTCTCTAACCGGACACTCTACCACTCAACTAAGGGGAAACTCCCTCTAATCGAGGCTAGTATGGCGACCTGTACTCTCAACTTCTTGCAATATTGTAAACAGATGTTCATTATGAAAATGTGGCATTATTATCACAAAGTATTGGTATTCAAGAGATAGCCTATGGCTTAACAGGAAATACGAAAATGTATGATAATCATTAGTTGACTTAGGCCTGTAGAACTGTCTTCTCTATCTTAAATGTATACCTTATTATTTCACCGTGAACCGATTTTTATATCCAATGTTTAAACAACAGATGAGGAAATGACCAGCGGATCACTGATAAACACTAAATTGTGTGGCGATGTTTGTGCCGTTGTTGGCAATAACTGGATGGTGAAATATTGTACTACAATGAATAATCAAAGTTTACAGAAACATATTAATATTGTTTCTTAAAGCCAAGATATACTAACCGTCTACATAATCCATCTTCTACGTCTAACAAGTCATCTGCTTCAAAACGTTCTCTGGTGCTATCTACATTCGATAAGAAAAAATCCAAGAGTTACCGAACAGATGACAACATTGAAGACACACTTGTAACGGATCCGCTGATTGGTTAAAGTGAAAATATGATAACAAACCGAAATTAAGGATACCTGCTCATTATTTTTAAGTTTACCGAGACAAAATCCTGACAAAGCATGTTTTTGTTAATGTTTAATTTCATGTTAAAGAAACTTTCATCGGTTTCAACGAAATGAAAAAAACTGAGTACAGGATTTGATTAAGAAATGCATGTACAGCCAGCGACATGTATCTACAATCAATCACAGGGACTTGGCACGAATTCCAAACTCAAGGTCGATACATGTATATATGAATTATAGCAACTATATATAGTGACTGTAATACATATATACGGACCATTGGTTGGGAACAGCATCATGTTATCAAACATCAACCAGTAAAATCTGACGGGGAAGAGGGAGCGGAGGGTGGGGGTTGATCCCACAATTACATGTAGAATATAAATACAGTTTTAGGAGGAATGGCAACGGAAAGAAAAAGTAGATAACTATATTACACAATAATTGACTGACTATCTAATTTGATTTATAAGGAATGTTATAGTTTTTTTCTATATATATCTTAAGCACAAGTTAAAGTATACTGAGATACATATTTCTATTCCGCCAACGGTGAGTGAAATATTGTGGTACTTAATGGGGAACTGCTAAATTTTCTTTTTACCAAATAAGTAATTTCATAACTGATATTCACTCTGTGAGGTACTTTGAAAAAACTCTGTTTAGGACCAATCCTCCAGCTTGTAAGAATTACATCATTTTTAGAGAAGGAGGACCAAGACAATTAAATATCATTCACTGTCAGTTTAGGAATTCAGCCAGCTCTCTAAACCATGATCTACACAAAGACCATCTTTATGATGACCCATCCTGTGCATGTAGTACCCCAACTGAAACAGCTCAACATTTCTTCTTTGACTGCCCTAGATATATCAACCCTAGACAAAGTTTAATACAAACTTCAAACAACCATAATCATAACCACTATGAACTAAACCATGTTTTACATGGCTGTCCAATCTGTACCACCCTAACTAAATATCTATTGTCAAAATTACACGAGTCAGAATTATAGAATAAATCTAAAACTAAGGTAAAATACGATTGAAAAAAAAGATATTTTTTTCATAGTTAATTCAACTGTTATCAACCATGAGATGAATGCTGGTCAATAGTTATTTACTTTTCCCGTTTTTTTCCCATTATTATTTGCCCTTTCTGATTTATTTCGAATATTTCAATTATCATCTTACAATAAGGAAACAACGCTGTCCAGTTCTTTATCTTTTTCTTTAGAATAATAATCCTTTGATATAAGAAAAATGTGCTTCATGTGTACTTGTTCCCTCACTGAAATGGGACAGGGCTGACTTTTATATCATAGACATTCTGGTCCAAACCCCTTTTATATGAGAGAGAAGGAAAATATTACATGTAACGCTTATTTGACATCATAAGGCATAGTAAACAGAAAAGCTGGTGGGTTGTTAATTATCTTCTTATAACCATAACCTTAAAGTATAAAAAACAGAGTTAATTTATTCATGATTTAAAATTGATAAGTCTTTCAACACAAAATTTCTGATTGTATGTATGTAATGAAAGGTTTGTATGTATGTAATGTTTGATTGCATGTATGTATGTAGTGAATTATGTTTATGCCCAACCACAGTGTTGTCTTGGGAGAAGATTTACATTTTTGTATATAGGCTCTAGCCTGCTGTCTAATCCTATTGATTGTTTATATCAATAAATATTCTGAAATAAAAAAAAAAAACATCCCAGAAAACTGAAGTCATAACCTTTATAGCTAATGGAACAACCTTTGCCTTCTTTGGCAGGGGTGAACCAGGGTGCTTTTATTGTTTAGACTGTTGTTTGGCCTCTGGCTATATATCTCTCTGTAACTTGCCTGTCAGCCATAACAATACCATGGACTGAACATTACCGGAGCAGCAATAGTGACAGTATCCACGACGGGCGTCATCCCCAAGGCTCTGCCTGCTTCGCTTTCACCACCCACATACACTGTAGCATATGAAGGGGCATCACTCCATAGTGTTGCTACCATATCAGTATGGATCTCCTTAGGTGCTAGACCTTTCTTTGTCCATGTTGCAAAAGTCACTTGCCTTGTTTACTTTAGATTGCTACATTACCGACATAAATGACCAAATGACACCAGTCTTTGGGTACACAGCGTGAACTAGTCAGTGAATGCCATATCTACAAAATGACTTACCTGCTCAACTTATTACCTATAAGGCTCACAACTTACCAATCAGTCCTCATAACATACGTTCCTCTAACGAAATTGGCGAATTTCAATACGGTGACAAACGTTACATTGTTGAAAGCATCGCTCTAGATCTTATTGGTCAAAAGTGTTATGCGCGTCATTACTAGTGGTGAAATATCAATTTCTATATTTTATTGACAAAAATATAATAAATAATATTTTTGGGTTTTGACAAATAAGAACGGGAATTTCTATTTACCGCTTTCAAATTCGCTTTTCAGTAGGAAATAAAGCGAAAGTAGAATGGGTACATATATCTTACTACTATACTGCATCCTCGATACTCCATGGATTACACTTACTGTATCGCTCTGTGCAGTGTCGAGGATCTGACTATACAGCGAGTCTTAGAAGAGGACAGTACAGTGGTTATTACAAAATGGTTCTCTCTTGGTGTCAAACATAGCGTTACAATTATACGACATCAAAGATGTTAATGTTTCTCGTCTTTTCTCAGAAACTGATTTGTGATTTGTTTTTTATGCTCGAATCAAATGTTTTGCCAATTTTTTAAAGATGAAACAGAAACTATTTCCTACATGCATTTCACTCGTATGACTGAATACACGTTTTTTTATTCTGACTTCGCAAATATTTATCTTTTTACGTTTGAAACCATTTTTTCTGCAAGGACAAACTAATCTGTTGCGTATGTAAGATATGGATAAGTCGACTTTGATATTGTACTAGTTCGCTGGTTTAGTGATGAGGTAACCGTAGAGATATTGATCGTGAACGTAAAATAATGCTTGACCTCGTCAAATGACCATGTCCAGCCGTACAGCCACATACATAATGGAGAGAAGTGACACAGGTCAGTAGTATAATATTATACATTATGAATAGGTTACCTGATGTGGCTCATTTAATTACACGTGTTAAACTTAAGTAACGGTCGAAGCCGAGATAGATGTTTGTTTAGGCTACAATATATTACTGTGATGTTGACTTAGATATACAATATATTACTGCTGTTGACTTAGATATACAATATATTACTGTGATGTTGACTTAGATATACAATATATTACTGTGATGTTGACTTAGATATACAATATATTACTGTGATGTTGACTTAGATATACAATATATTACTGTGATGTTGACTTAGATATACAATATATTCCTGTGATGTTGACTTAGATATACGATATATTCCTGTGATGTTGACTTAGATATACGATATATTACTGTGATGTTGACTTAGATATACAATATATTACTGTGATGTTGACTTAGATATACAATATATTACTGTGATGTTGACTTAGATATACAATATATTACTGTGATGTTGACTTAGATATACAATATATTACTGTGATGTTGACTTAGATATACAATATATTACTGTGATGTTGACTTAGATATACAATATATTCCTGTGATGTTGACTTAGATATACGATATATTCCTGTGATGTTGACTTAGATATACGATATATTACTGTGATGTTGACTTAGATATACAATATATTACTGTGATGTTGACTTAGATATACAATATATTACTGCTGTTGACTTAGATATACAATATATTACTGTGATGTTGACTTAGATATACAATATATTACTGTGATGTTGACTTAGATATACAATATATTACTGTGATGTTGACTTAGATATACAATATATTACTGTGATGTTGACTTAGATATACAATATATTCCTGTGATGTTGACTTAGATATACGATATATTCCTGTGATGTTGACTTAGATATACGATATATTACTGTGATGTTGACTTAGATATACAATATATTACTGTGATGTTGACTTAGATATACAATATATTACTGTGATGTTGACTTAGATATACAATATATTACTGTGATGTTGACTTAGATATACAATATATTACTGTGATGTTGACTTAGATATACAATATATTACTGTGATGTTGACTTAGATATACGATATATTCCTGTGATGTTGACTTAGATATACGATATATTCCTGTGATGTTGACTTAGATATACGATATATTACTGTGATGTTGACTTAGATATACAATATATTACTGTGATGTTGACTTAGATATACAATATATTACTGTGATGTTGACTTAGATATACAATATATTACTGTGATGTTGACTTAGATATACAATATATTACTGTGATGTTGACTTAGATATACAATATATTACTGTGATGTTGACTTAGATATACAATATATTCCTGTGATGTTGACTTAGATATACGATATATTCCTGTGATGTTGACTTAGATATACGATATATTACTGTGATGTTGACTTAGATATACAATATATTACTGTGATGTTGACTTAGATATACAATATATTACTGTGATGTTGACTTAGATATACAATATATTCCTGTGATGTTGACTTAGATATACAATATATTACTGTGATGTTGACTTAGATATACAATATATTACTGCTGTTGACTTAGATATACAATATATTACTGTGATGTTGACTTAGATATACAATATATTACTGTGATGTTGACTTAGATATACAATATATTACTGTGATGTTGACTTAGATATACGATATATTACTGTGATGTTGACATAGATATACGATATATTACTGTGATGTTGACTTAGATATACAATATATTACTGTGATGTTGACTTAGATATACAATATATTACTGTGAT